AAAAGTACCTCAAAACAATTATCTCCTTCCTCTGGTATAAACGATGGGAAGCAAGAGGTAAGCCAGAGATATGGAATTTGCAATTCTCCATTTTCAGTAGGAAGAAATGTTGGTGATTTGTATTGTGCTCTGACACAACCACTTGACCTCAGTGCAGCTTATGCTAATTACTTGCAAGAATATGCTTGTTGGCTCCATGCATGCCTAGCATATTTCTTGTATCTAAGCTTGATAGATGAAATATTGCTTATATGACAGTGCAGATTGGGTTGACTGAATCAACGGCTGGTTGGCCGAGTAATCCAAGCAAACAGAAATACTGTCTGTGATAAAAGAGGACCTGAGAAGTTAGTCATTAATATTGCCGAGATATTTTTATACCGACTCACTCCTTTTCTGCTTACCATGCTTTTAATCTCTCAGGCTGACACAAAAAATAGAGAGGATCCATCTCTTTGCCCAAAGCAAGGTCAACTCTCCATTCCTGGTAACTGCTTATCTGGCTTGGCCTTAAAGACCTTCTGTGATGGAAATATTACACCTGGTTTCACTAGCTTTACAGTGTTCTGGTTTTCCTACTGTCTTTGAGTGCATTCGTATAGCTGTACACATCTTCCATCTCTGGGTATGCTCTGAGGATATATATTTTAATTAAACATATTCATCCATGAAGAAGCTGGATTCCTACTGCTGTTGTTCAACAAGTGCATATGTCTGGCCCCAGGGTTTAGGTTTATCTATGCATGCGCTGCAATCAGAACAATTTGTTTTGTGCTCTCTGTTCTGATCAGCTCCTCCAAGGAACGAAGCTGTGAACGCAACCTGGCTCGCTCTGACAAGATGGTCACTTTGCCTAGTTGGGACAGCAGACCTGAAGCCACCAACTCAGTCGATTAGCTTGTCTCCATTCCCCTGACATGCTCTCCTCAAGCTCCACTCCCTGTTGGACTTGAAGACAGGATCTTAAGGCTGGTTTTGTTGCACTGTGCCCAAAACTCAGTTGAGGAAAGGGGGAAGAAGTGGGAAGAACAGCTGAGTGGCTGATGTTGCCATTTCTTTTGCTGTTCAGCACCGTCAGGAGTAGAAAGGGGAAACTTTTCTGTTCTTCACCTTTGGGAATCCATATCAGCCCTGCCTGCAGATACCACCATGCTCCCAGAAAAGCCATCCCTTTCTTGCACAGATATTCTGTAAAGATAAAGCTCTTGTTATTCAATGTACAAGGATCAGCCTTTAGATAGGCCACAGTTACTGCAGAGCATTTCTGAGCCTGCTGAAATTCTACATAAACACATAGGACATGCTGAGGAGGAATGGGTTTATGCGTGTATTTAACATTAAACGGAGGCTTAAGAGCTTTGCTGCTGGGAGAAGAGAAGAATGTTTTGTTTGCAGCATGCCTTGTCCTGTGTGGGAAGATGCTGCTTGCCTGCTACTGAGCTCCAAAGAGCCTTTCTGGTATTTCTTGGGACTGATTTGAAGCAGCAGACACCAGGATCTGGGACCTCATGGCAGGCTTTTTTTAACACTGTGGATCTTTTCTCTCCAAAGTCTGGCACCTGAAATACCAGCAAGCAATCTCCAGCCATATCCTAAGGGACTTTTCTTTGTGCACTGCTGTGCACACAGCATATGTAACAGAGACAAGCATTAATCTAGCTACCCCCTGCACCTCAGCATCTCCTCGTGCTTCGTATGCTCAAGCCATGCAGGGGGCTGGTGCCTGCCAGATGCAATTAGCAATGGGGGAACCAGCTTTTTAATGTGTTCAAATACCCTGGTTACTTCCCCCAGCCATATGTGGAAGATGATAACCAGAGCAGGGCATCTCTGAATAAATGCTTTGTTTCTCCAGACTTTGTGGAACCCTGTCTGCAAGGTGGGACCAGGACAGGTAGGGGGGGGAAATCAAGAGGAAATCAAATTGCTGTCAGTTAGCATGAAGAGTTTATCCCTGGAGGGACTTACAGGCAGCCAAGAGGGGAAGTGGGTAGGAAACTGGGAGGAGACCTTGTCCTTCAATTTAAGCGTGGGATCAAAGCCTAGCTGAAGTTGGAGTGGTTCCGTCATTGATTTCTGTTTGTCTCCCCACCTTTCCCTTCTCCGTCACATATTCTGGCCCTTATCCTGTTATCTGCTCTGGAGATAACTAAATACCCTATAAAAGAGCTCCGACTTCTTTGTAGAGAGTAATTATGGCTTTGCAGGACTGATACTGAATTGCCTTGAGAAAGCAGAAAGATGGGGACTTAACATAGCATACAATTTGCTGGAGGAAGCAATCCCCGCCAGATCCTCTGCAGAGAAGTTGAGAGCAGCCCCAAAGTGTTCACATGTAGATGATCTCCATGCCCTTTTAATAGCTTTCCTTACTTGCTCAACCTTTCAAAGACCAGAGCAAGAAAATACCGTAACTGATAGAGACTGGCCACAGGAAATCTACCAAAATTATGTCTAAACTGCCTTTGGGAGCATCATTGCAACTGCCTGAGGAAGGAGAGTATGTTCAAGCAGAACTGTTCAGGCCAGACTGCAACTTCCTTCACATCCCTAGGAAGGTTCACAGACTCTTCAGAAGAGCCACCATGTTCTGCTGACCTCTGGGAGACTTTGCCTTGTACTGCAGCTCCCGGGTGAAGTTTGCACAGCGGAGATGTGTGTGGCATGGACGCCCTCTAAAGGGAAGAGCCGAGATTAAGGCCCACACAGAAATTTCAGAGATTTAGGAGAGCGTGGGCATGGGCTAGGTGATGACCATATCTCTTCATCCAGTCTTTGTTCTGCCTCTGAAATATGCTTTGAAATATTATCTGTGCACTTCAACCATTAATAATTACAGCCAATCTACTGCATACTTAGCTCATGCCATTCTCCTGAGGTTTTAATTGTTGAGTCAGTTCATAAATTAGTACCTGGCAGAGCTTATCCATTTGTAGGCACAAGCAGTTACTCTACAGCCTGAACAGCTTCCACCCAAAAAAATCAAAGGTTCTGAGGGCAAATCCCTCAACACACCCAAGTCCATGTCTTCTCTCCTTCCAGGATCCAAATTTTGCACAAGGCAGGATTTTAGCTGTTTTATTTATATTAAAAACCAAACCAAAACAAAACAAACTTATGTCCCTTGGGTACTTAAAGGACTAATTCTCATTGTGGGGTTTTATGTATTTGCTTATTTGGAAAGCTAAAAGTAGTCAGGCAGATTGCCAGCCGCATCTTCACAGAGCAAAGGCCGCTGCAATAAAGGCTGTGTTAATTACTGCCGTTCTGTAACATTATCTGCCTTCCCACCAGGCCAAACACTCGTGCACCAGGCTCCTGCGTGGCAGGAAGGTGCTGAAGCTCTCGTGTCCTCACGCCAGAGCACTGGATTCACTGCAGGCCCAACCTGCCAGGGCAGCCTGCTAGGCTTTCTGCAGCTAGCAGAGGGCACAGAGGGCTGGGGAACACCTTGTAGTCAGCCACTTATGTTGTGAGCAGCTTATTTTTAACAGCATGTTGGCATTTCTTTACAGTGTCCTTGTACCACTATAAAAAAAAAAAAAAAAGGTGCCTCTTGCAGTCTGTTGACTTTTAAGAAACAACATGGGCCATTCTATAGAGCAAAGGACTCACAAGTTGGGTTAAATATGTGCTCTGGGAAAAAAAAAAAAAAAATCAGGTTCTAAAATAGGAACAAGGCCAGGAAGATCCAAGCATTAAAAATAAACATGAAGTCACACTGCCTTTCCCAGGGAACTCAGCTGCCTTGTCTGGAGAGGGGCCTCCCGGAACGCAGGGCCGGCCGGTGCAGCAGCAGCGCGGAGCCCTCTCCCTGCTGTCAGAGGGAATCCGGGAGCAGAGACACGGAGCTCCTTGGCAGCGCTTCCCTCCGGCTCATGGGACTCAGCTCTTCAGGATAACACGAGGTGTTTTTTCACAGACTGGGCAGTCCAGGCCAGACAACGGTGAGCTGGCCGTGCTGTACACCACCGGCCTAGGAAGCTTGCTCTTGTTATTGCTGTGGGGAACTGGGCAACTTTCCACAAACACACCTTCAATTCCACTGCCCCAGGGGACTGGGAATCCCCCACTTCTCTGACATTTCAGTTAAATACGAGGCTTTCATCTGTACTCTAACTTCTCCACTTTCAGACTCAGGTTTGTCTCCTTTCCATTTCCAGTCACTGGAGCCTTTCACCACAAGGGTGGATAAAGCTTTGGGGCAAGAAAGTGGATATTAGATGTTCTTACTTTTCCTCCCCTTGGTTCTGTTTACACTTTATTATTATTCAGAAGTTAAAAAGGACCCTATAGATTTCATGGCAGGTTTTAACAGCGAAAGCCAATCATAGTACATACTGGAAGCACCACATATTCAAAGCACAGCACATAAATTTACTAACTAATCTCTGACTAATCCCCAATCTCCAGCTAATTAGCCTTTTTGAAGTGTGCCCCCTTCCTACATGAGCTAACGCTTGTTCGGCCTTTTGAAGCATTTAGCGTACTAAGTACAATCACGCGTGTTTCCCTAGTAAAGAAGGCACATGAAGAACGAACAAATGCAATTAATGAGCACCATGACAGGGCGGAAGCTCTGCGTACTGAGCCCAGGCCCAGCTCCGAGCCCGTGTGCCTGTATCACCGTGGCCAACCCCATCCACCTCCATGCTTCCCTGAGTGGGCTGCTGAGCCCTTGCCCACGGCTACAGCTGCGGAATTGGCCTCTGGAGGAGTCGGCCCTCACCCTAGGGCTAAATTACACACGCTTACGTCTTTCTCTTATTTCTTCACCCTGGACACAGGTTGGAGAGAGGGAACCGGCCCTGCTCGCAGCTTTTGCCGGAGGGGCCGTGTCCCTGTCGCAGCCCAGCCCCGCTCCCGGGAGCCAGCCCCGAGGGCACGGAGCCTCCAGCGGTGCCCGCGGCCCGGCGGGGGCAGCGATAGCGGCCGCGGCTGAGGGCCGGGACTACGCTTCCCATCAGGCCCCGCGCCTCTCGCGAGACTTTGGCGGGCGAGGCGGGCGCGCGCAGCCCGCCCCCTTTTCCCTCCCTCTCCGCGGGGAGATGGCGGCCGGGCCGCGAGGGGTGAGTAGGGTGGCGGCGCCATCGCCAGCCATCCGCGGGCACGGCGGCCTCCGGGGGCGCGGGGACAGCGGGAGGGGGAGCGGGGCACTCTTGCGCGCCGCCACGGCTGTTTAGAGGGGTGCGGCAAGGCCTCGATGTCTGCCCGCGGGGACGTAATGGTGGCCCCTCTCCGCTGTGGGAGACAAGGCCGGGCTGCGCTGGGCCCCGCGGCTCCTCGCCGCCGGGATGGGGCCGCGGCCCTCTCCTTGCGGGGGATGCTCCTGGCGACGCTCGGCGCGCAGATTTTGACGACACTTACACCGTTTTTTTTCCCCAGCAGCGCCTGTGTGGCAGCATTTAATAGAGCAGCTGGCCCAGCTCAGCCTGACCGCTGCCATCAGCCCAGGGTCGGGGCTCGGCTTTGACATTTTTGTGTTTCGTGTTTGTTTTTGTGGGGTTTTTTTGTTTGTTTGGTTTGGTTTGGTTTTTTGTTTTGGTTTTTTTTTTTTTTTTTAGCGGGCTGATCCCGCACTACCCGTCCCCCTTGAGCGAGTGCCTACGCAGAGAGGGCGGCCCGTGGGGCGAGCCGTGCCCCGCGGGTACCGCCGCTGCCCGGGCGCGGAGCCAGGAACAGGCCGGGGCTTTCGGGATGGCTCTGCCTGGTCCAGGTTTGGCTGCTCGGGAAGCTGAGCTAGTGATGATAAAAGTTATCCCTGTCTGAAACTGATCTTTCCTCTGTGGAAGCGTGACTCTGAGGCTCAGTGTTAGAAGCACAAAGGTAAAAGAAGAGTCTGTTATACGAACTAACTGTCCCCTTCCTCTGTTTCAGAGCATGGAGTGGTGCCAGGCAAGGGTAAAAACACTCACCTGCCAGGGAAGCCAATTCCTTCACTGGTCTGACAGTAAACCTGCACCAGCTGCACAATGGTGAGGAATATTAGCATCTGTCTTGTCATAGTCTGTTTTTCTCACCTGTTGCCAGGCTATGGAACTAAGACTCATTCTCCTGTGTCAGATGATATCCTCCCTTGTCCCAGGGGCTACCTGGAGGAGGTATAAAAGCCCGGTGGCTTGATTAATGTAATTAAGCCAATCAAGGCTGCAGCTTTGTTGCAGCTGCCACCTGAGTGTGCAGCCCTTTGCTGCCATGGAGCACAAGTTGAAAGGCAGCACAGAATGAATGGGAATTTGACTGTTCTTGGTGTCCAGTAGAGCACCTGCTTGTCAGCGTGGTCAAAGATGAGCAAGAGTAGAAAGGATTAGAAGTAGGAGGGATTGGATGACAGCCCATTATGGAGACACTTGACACAGCTCATCTCATAACTGTATTTGTCACAGAAATAGACCTAGTGAAAGAATAATTGTTCTGTTTGCCTACTGGAGGTGCATTAGGGCAGTTTCAAACTTGGATCAGGTTGCTGGAGATGGGGAAGTGCGGGTCACATACACCACAGGATAATCCTAGAAAGGACACACCTTGAAGAATCCTTCCCCAGAAGGTATGTGTCTGCCTTGGGTCTGCTTGAATGCATTTCTCAAGATAAACCCATAGGCAATTTAAATCCTGGATGGATTATTCTTGTGTGCAAGGAGGGAGTTGGATTGAGATGTTTCAGTATGATGAGGAGGAGGGTGTCCGCTTAACAGCTAAAGAGGGTCTACACCACCAAAGTTTCAGAGCTGGTGGGGTTTTTTTCTAAGCAAGGATTTAAATAGCATCCACCTCCCGAAGTTTCTTATTTCTGAGTGAGACAACTCACTGACAAACATGCTCCTTTGTCACTGAGGGACAGGTTTCTGCTGTGCTAAGTTTGTGAGACGAAAATTGCTGGCCTCTGAACATAAAACTTCCTGTCTTTACTTCAAACAAAGTTTGTCCTCCACTCATTCTTTCTCTACCTCTTCTGAAAAAAAAAAAAAAACAGCACTGGATCACAGAGTGAGAATTACTGTTGATAACAGTGTTCAATGTAACTTGTATTTAGGAGGAAATCGTCCTGCAGTGTCCTGCGCTTGTACTGTTGCCCAAAGACAGCTTTGGTGAGAGGGCAGCTGCTAAGTTGAGCTTCAAGCTGGTAAGAGAATGCTTCAGTATTGCATGCTCCTCATTTTTAATTTATTAATTTTACGTCAGATCTGTAGGCAGCATGACTCATCTGCTGACCACAATACCTAGTCTTTGAACAGTTACTAGGAAAAATACTAGTCATCAGGAAGAACGCTGGTCATCAGCATTTCAGCATCTGAGTGTCTTTGCTGTATGTGATTTTGTAGAACTTGAGTTTATATAGCCAAGGGCAGGAGAGAAACTGAGCCTGTGATGTGCTGTTATCCCTGTCTGACACCTCAGCTGTGAGGGAGAAGCAACTGTCCACTGAGGCTTACATGTTTCCCCTTAGCAGGTCTCTTAAGCCTTGCAAAGACTCCGATGACACAAGTAGCACCAGGAGGGCGAAAGCAGCGTCTCCCCTTTCCTCCTGCCCTTGCAATGTGTGACTGCAGCACAAGCACAGCCCCATACACACAGCCTGCTCAGCAGCCAGCTCTCCAGAGCCCGGATACAGCAGGGCTCAGAACAGGGGCTGGAGGTGCTGCCTGCTGTTGTCATAGCACAGCTTAGTCTGTGAAGAGCTTTTAAGTTGCTGATCCTAAGAGTGAGGCACAGCAGCAGGTTGAAGGGCAGATACAAAATTCATTTTTATCTCACCTGATGTATGGTCATTGAATACACGTGCTGCAACAGCACTTTAGGTAGCTGACAGCTGTATTCTGCTAAATAATTTCATGCTTTATTTAACAGGAATTGTATTTGTTTGCAGATCAGTAACATTCACTGACAGGCTGAACCAGCAAACTTGGTGACAGTGGACTTAAGAAATCAAGGTTGGTATGCAAAAGGGGAGGGAATGGTGCTACAAACCAGCAGCCAGGTTGTTTGCTCTCTTGCCACTGCTGTGTTCCAAGTAGGACTGGTCACTGGGAGGAGCACGTGGGGCTTCTGGCTTCCAAGGAATAAGTGTAAAAATGTGAAAGGGCACCCTGATGACAAACAGGAAAAGTAAAAGCTACTCAGTGCTTTGAGAATAGAGGTGCAGAAATTGTTTTAGAACAAACTTCTTAAGGAAAACAGTTGAGAGTAACAGTATTTCTTTGTGGTATCTCCCGACTTTAGAAGCAAAGGAAGGAAGATTGTTCTGGAGTGGGTCTCACAAATGGCCACTGATACGTCATTTGAAACGGTGTGAAATGGCCACCAGTGCATAACTACAGGCTCCTGCTCGGCGGTTGTTGCAGCCACATCATGGGTAAGTTACCAGTAAAGCTAAAGAGAATTTGCATACTGGTGCCAGTGGCTTGGGGGAATAAGGGTTTGTCTCCTGAGACCTAGCCTCTCAAATAGTGCAAATCGGGAACTTTGCAGCTGACACTGTCTTTTTTCCACTAGGCCCTGATCTACATCTGGCTGGAGGAAAAAGTGGTTCCCCGCAGTCTTCTGTTCCAGAGTAAAATAAGTTCTGAAAAATCTTGGGAGTTGAAGTTGCTTTTTGTTTGGTTATTTTTGTAAAGGTTATCTGCTTGAACAGAAACGGGTTTGAGCAGGTAGAAAGGATTTTGGGTTAAAACACTTCCTGAAATTCAAGCAGTTCTGAGCTTACCCTTCGTAGCAAAATCTGCTCTTCCCTAAAGACTTCAGTGTCTACAGGCGCTAAATGTTGAAGAAAAGCAATTTGTGGTGAAGTGTGACAAAACCACTTACAGCTAAGCTAGGACTGGTGGCTGAAACGTTTCGTGTGATCTGCTTGGAAGCTCGAAGATAAGGGAGAAGTGAGAGGCAGTAGTGCAGCCATCAGGTTCCTTGTCTGATAAGCCCTTAAAATGAAGTGTGTTTAACTCCAGGGCTGGGCTCCACACTTGGCTAGAAAACCTCCCTTTTTGAAATGGGGATGGAGGGTGTGCATAGTAGTTTGATGTGCACAAACAGCTCTGTCCGTGAGCTGGGTGGGACTCTTGGCAGGATGCTGCACTGTGACAGCACTCGTTTTTAAGACCTTTTTGTTGTGTGAGTCAAGGTGCTGGTGCCTGCCACGTTCAAGGTCACCTGCATAGGTTGTGCCGAGGCTTGGCCAGAGCTGGTTAGAGGAGGTTTTGGTGCTGCCTTGGTCAGGTGATGTGAGGATCAGGATTGTTCTTGTGAAAGAGGTTTTGCTGAGTGCTTGTGAATAAAAAACAGGCCTAACAGGCTGCCTTGGTACCATTGTAAGGTGGCTCTGATGCAAACAAATGTTAATTTGAGACCTGGGAACACAAGATGGGCTCCAAGCTAGAGATTACATCTGAAATGGGTTTAAGAGACTAACCTTCCATAATGCTCCTTCGAACTGGCTGAGAGCAGCCTGCTGTGAGCTTGAGGGGGTTTTGAGGTTCCCTGGCTCACGGCCAGGGTATCTCTTGCCATCTCTGCAGTAAATGGTTCCTCCCCAGCTGACGTACAGCACGTAGCATCCCAAATGGGAAAAGACTGTGCTGGGAGCTGCTCTCAGAGCTCCAGCCCAAGCCTCTCCACCCTTTAACCCCACACCCATCCCGGCTCCTGGGGCCATTCCCCACTCGAAAGCTCCCTGTCCTACGTGCTACAGCTCCTCTGCTGCAGGAGGCAAGGGGTCTCGCCCCCACCCAGCTTGTCAAAACAACAGAAACAGGCATAAAAGAAAACCGTCATTCAACATTTATGTAATTACTCAAAGTGGGAAAGTGTTTCAGATTACACCACAGTGCCATATCAACCCTCTGGCCACCACCACCTGGAGTAGCCTCTCCAGCAGGTCTTGGCAGTGCTGGCTTACAGGGGATGGCTGAAGCATTCCAGACCTTCACCTCCCTCATTTCTTTGGGGGAGGAAAAAAATTAAGAGTGATGATCCCTTAGATTTCCCCCAACAAGCTAGCAGGTTCCCTAACCCACCTGGCATGGGGCTGCCTTCTCAAAGCACTTAGAGGGCACCACGTGGTCCCTGTGCAAGAAAAACCCAACAAACCCACCACCTTTCATCTCCAGGGTGCTCAAAGACCACCCATGTTTCTGAGGTCCCCGCTGAGCTGCAGTAACCCTACTCTTAGCTGATGGCTTTTAAGACCCTTCCTGGTTTGAAAACACCGTGACATAGAGAAGGGGAAGATGACAGGGTGTGGCTGTGCGTCTGTTGCAGGAGAGGACAGACAAGCTGCTGACTTCCCCACTGACCACAGAGGCAAACATCCTAAAAAACAGCACATGTCAACCCAGAGCTGGCGGAGGTTTGGACTTTCCGCAGCCTGGAAGGGAAGTGTTCTGCAAACACACCACCCTCCTCTTGGCCGGGTGAGCTGTCTCCAGTCCAAGGGTTCATCGTGCCTGTTGTCTCACCGCGGTGACAAGCATTTGAGCTGGTGTGTGATGGCAAGGTGGAGAGTGTTTTCCAGCCAGAGGCTGTCACATACATCTCCAGCATCCTCTTCCAGCACCACGCTGCCCCTCCTGTGCTTCACAGGGACCACTGCTGCCCCCCGGCTGTGTTCGTGGGGCTGGAGGGTCACAGCCACATGCCATGGTGCTTCTTCATGCCCCAAAGGCCCACGTTCAATCACGTTGAGCCACGAAACATCGCTGGAGATCCCCAAGGAAATGCAACATTTCTCTACCAGCTTTGGCTTGCCCCTTACCATCACACCGCTGCCGGCTGCGGTGCCGTGGGTCTGCTCCTTGGGCTGGCCGGCCGGCTGGGGAGAGCCCTCAGGAAGGAGAAGGTGGCCTTCAGGAAAGAGGAGAAAAGCCACAGGAGTCCTTGGACTTGTCCCCGCGAGCGACCGCTGGGCCTCACCGCTGGTAGAGGGTCATGATCCCCGCTCGGTGCAGGCTCCTCCACAGCGCCGCCTCCAGCATCATGTCGTGGTTGGCATAAAACACCAGCGGTTTCTTCTCCACCTCGTAGTAGTGGTCTGAGAACTGCTCGTAGTTGGCGGTGATGAACCCGTAGGCACTGACCTGCAGGGAGGCAGCGAGACAGACGGACACAGGACAGGGTCGGGGCTCCACCTCGGGCGGTCCGTGCACCACCACCGCGCCGTCCAGGGACGGGGGTGGCACATGTAGGACAGCCACCAGCACACGCTGGTCCCCACCAGCTTTACAGCAGCTCTTCACAAGCCCCTGGCTGCCAAAGTGGGGGGCGGGGGGGATTCCCCCCCTCCTTGTCCCCAGGGGGAAGGTGGCCCCGTGGCCTCTTACCTGGTCGCAGGCGTGGAGCGCGGTGAGGAGCATGAGGGCACCGGTGCTGGGCATGTAGAGCGAGCCGTACTGCGTGTTCAGCAGCTCCGACCTCAGGAACCTGCCGGTGGGCACGGCGGGTCGGGGGGGGGCTCACGGCTGGCACAGCACCACGGCCCCCAGCACCAGACCCAGCAGCACCCGGCGCCCATCCGGCCCCCCCCGCTGCGCGTTTGGTGACGCCGGAGCACCGAGTGAAACACGGGGCTCATGCGGGTTCTTTGATGGCTACTGCTAAGGTTCAGCGCGTTCGCTGTGGGTTGCTAAAAGGCACCTTTCTACTGTTTGAAATCATCCCAACCCAGGTGCCTGCTTTCATGAAAGGCGGGAAAAGGCAGTCCCTTTAGGCCCTACCTCTGTTCCCATTAGACTAGGTCAAAATTTAATTTATTTTGGGAAACGGGAGGCAAGGTGAGCACCGTGAGCTGTAGGAAAGGATGTGAACTGTGCTGCAGTGAATAGGAATGACCGGAGAGAGAAGCCCCTGCCTTGTCTGCAGAGAGCAGGGCAGAGGTGGTTCCAGTGCCTGGGGAGGACTGGAATTGTGCTTTGATGCTGGGCAGCCACTGGTCAGTACTGGAGAGAGCAGTGGTGGGAGGCAGGTGGTCTGGGCCCAGCCCAGAGCAGAGCTGGGCAGCAGCCACGGTCCTCATCATCCTCACCTTGCTGTCAGGTACTGCAAGAAATCTGGGTGCAGCAGCTTGAACTTCTCTGCAGATGCTTCCGGTCCAAAATACTTCTTCGGGCTGCAGCGGGGCGAGGAGAAGGGCAGAATTCACATCACGGGAATCCTGGAGCTACTTGGGGTTTATCCCGCCAGGGACAGATGTGGGGTGAGGGCAGGCAAGTCATGCTTCCTCCGGTTGTTCACCGAAGGTTCTGGGGAGATCTTGGGGGGCTACTCACTCATCCCCCTTGTCCGAGCCCTCGGGGACTGGGCTGCCCTGGATGGCCGACTTCAGCATGACGTAGTCACGGACATCCGAGGGGATGAAGATGTACCTCAGGTCCTGCAGTGGGGACACAGATGTGGCACTTGGGAGAGGGGGGGGGGATGACTTTGGGGCACTGCCCGCCCCAGCATGGCAAGGACTGAGGGCTCCTGAGGTGGGAAGAAGGTTTGGGGGCCAAGCCCAGCCTCAAGGAAAATTTGGGGTCACCTCCCCAACAAGCCCTCGGGGTCTCACCTTGGCCTGGGGTATCTGGGTGAAGCCGTACTCCTCGTAGGCGATGAGGGAGTTCTTCATGGTGTTCACCGTGAAGCCGTAGAAGGAGATCTTGGTCCCGACGTCCTCCTCAAAGCCTTTGATCACGGCGCCATTGAGCCTGTGGGGAAAAGCACAGGACGTGTGTCCAGACTTGGCCTCTCCCCAGAACCCACGGCCCCGTCCTGCCTGGGACCCGTCCCCACCTGAAGACCAGGTCGTGCGCGTCGATGGCCTTGCCCTGCCGCGAGCCGTTGAGGATGCCGCCGTTGCCCACCACGGCGCAGCGGACGCAGCCCCCGGGGAAGGTGTCCCTGTCGAAGAGGTGCCCGTTGGCGGAGGTGTTGAGGAGCCGGAGGGTGCTGCCCACCACTGGAACGGAGCGGGATGGGGCCAGTCAGTGTGGAAAAGGTGCGGGAGCGAGCGCGCGCGCTTAGGCGCGCAACAGCACACACGCAGACAAGCTTGCGCAGGAGCGCATCCAGGAGCAGGCACACAAGAAAGCTCACGCCATGCTCGTGTGGGAGAGAGGTCTACAGGTGGGACGGGGGCACACCAGCCAGTCCCTCCTTTCCCAGGCTTGGTGTCACCCTCGCAGCCCCTCCCCCACGTTCCTAAGCCTGCTCCAAACGGCAGCCACCCGAGGCTGTGCAAGGCACGGGGGTGCATCTGGGCACCTCCGGCCCCAGCCCTGCGGATGCTGCTGCCCGTGCTGGCCATGTCCCCTCCTGACAATGTCTCCTTGCAACTGCCACCCGTTCACTCCCCCCGCACCGTCCCCAGCACTTCCCAGCCCAGGGCTTGAAGCCAGCGGCTGCCGGGGAGAGCAGAGAGTGGGTTTGGGGTAGGAAGGGAAACAATCTCCATCCACAACAATGGAGCGGGTTGTCCGAGCTCCTCTGGCCCCAGTTAATAATCATGCACACACTGGAGCTTTTATTCGGGGAAAATGTCACAAGATGCAGCAAGCGGCATTTGCAAAGCAGTCCCCTCCGCCCCGCGCCCCGAGAGGCCGAGCGAGAAGAGATCAAGGTCCCCGGCTCCTCTGCAGGGCTCCTCTGCCTGCCCCGTGTCTTCAGTCCCTTCTGCTGAAGACCTCCCCCCGCCCCATTTGCTGCCACCCCCATCCCAGCTGGGTCCGTACCTGCCTGGGACAAGCCTTGCCAGCCGTAGGGGACGTGTCGTGTCTTCAGCCTGTCCCAGGTCTCCGGGGTGAAGTGCCGGTCCCGCATCAGCACAGGGGTGTCGAAGCGGAAGATCTCCCCAAACTTGGGGTCTGCCTTTGCTCTGGCCATCACCGAGTGGAAGCACGTGCTTGGCTGGGAGGAAGACCTCAGTTCAGCCTCCAGCCTGGGTCTGTGTCTCCTCCGACATCACCCCACAGCAGGCACCAAGGAGAGGACAAACCCAGGGACAGAAATGCTCCTTGTCCATCGTAAGTTCTGCTGGGTCACCCAGGCAGGGCACTGCCTCGTGCCTCAGTTTTCTGCTCTAAAACATCCTTTGGTACCCAGTTCACCGGGGCTGGGAGGAGCAGAGGCTTACAGTCACCTGAGAGCATGAACCCCGGGAAAAATTCAGCAATTTCTAGTGAGGGCACCCCACTAAATGCCTCTGCTGGCTGAGAAGAGCCGCAGTGCCCAGGGCTGATTCCTCCCACTCTCACAAGCCTCCAGCCCAGGGTCCTGGCCCAAGCACCACAGAGTTGGAGGGAGTGGGTGATGCTGGCCCCAACCTCCACGTTGGGGAATTGCTCGGGGAGGTGCTGCAACCACAGCAGGGAGGCCTGGGGAGCCCCACGTGCATGGACGGAGGAGGTTGCTCCTCCACACACACACACACAAAACCCCTTCCAGACAACGCTGCTCCTCCTCAGCTTCCCCACACAGACCTTCCACCAATAAAACCCCGCGAGGAGGGCACTGGGGACACTAACCATACAGTGCTAATTGTTACCTGCTTTGGGCTGGGCTTGGGCTTCTCCAGCTTGGCAGAAGGCTTGAAGGACTTCCCGCTGGAAAGGGGAAAAACACATAACGGAGTAAAAAAATCCATCGCTTGAGCACTGGGGAAGCCCAGAGTGGGCAGGGGGCTCCCAGCTCATGCCAGGACCGCTGAGCCCACCTCCCCTTACCTCTCTAAGCCGCCTTCAAGGGCCCATCTGTGGCTGGTGGCTCGGCGCGATGTCCCCGGCGGAGCCAGGTCCAGCGGCTCCGGCTGCAGCAGGCTGGGGGGAGAAGCCGGTGGGGGGCTGAGCTGGGGAGGTGACACTGAGCCACTGCACCCCGACACCCCCTCACCTGCGAGGGCCACGGGGCAGGACCACATCACCTCCACCGCTGCCCACGCCCCCCCACCCCCCCCACCCCCCCTGTCTGTGCACGTTTCTGCAAGCAGAGAGCCACGGATTTGCAAAATACCGTGTTTATACAGAAAGCAGCCACTGACTCCTGGTGGGTCCCAGCTCCAGGACACCCGTGTACCAAAAACTGCACCCAGCCCAGCCTGCAGCCTTAGGGGGACCCTGCCAAGACCTCCCTGGCTCTCCCCACCATCCCACCTTTCCTGAGCCTGAGGGGGATGGGGCTGGGACGAGCTGGGCAGGCCAGCAGGACACATTTAGTTTCCACACTGGAGAAGCAAACAGCAACTGGGATCTGGAGGCTCTTGGGGTGTACAGGACCCCCTTCTGCCACAGGACCAGCTGGGGCATGCCCTGATCCTTCATTTAGCACTTGGGGACCGAGGCAGAGGGCTTCCCACCCTGAGCATCTCGGGGTGTCCTGAGCCCCACAGGGCCAGGCAGAGCAGACCCGGCCTCCTGGGGGGGTGTGGGGCTGGGGGCTGGGGGCAGGCAGGGTCGCAGCCTGGCAAGCAGGAGGTGGGAGCCCACCGGAGGGGAACAGGCTCCCATTCATCCCTGCACAGAAGGGCCCTTCAGAGCCCCCCCGGCGCTGCCTCCAGCCCAGCCGGCAGGTGCTCAGGCCAGAAGGGGGGTATTGTGGAGGAGACAAGGGCCCCCTTGTTACGGGATCTCTGCTTGGGAGCCCGGGGACAGGTAGAGGCAGGTGGGGAGCGGAGCTCTGCCTCCCCCCTGAGCCCCCGCCAGCGCACTGGGCCTTGGGTTTCCATCCCCGCCACGGCCCCTGTCAACACCAACAGCATCCACAGCCCTGCCCGGGAGCAGATCCAGACCCATTTGCCACCCAAACCCTGCCCCGTGCCACCCCCGGGGGTATGGTATGACACGAGGGGCCAGTCCAGCGCCTCCATCCACCCCAGCACCACCAGCTCCGGGCAGGGGATGCCGAGGGCGAAGGCATCCCTTCTGTAATCAGGGGGCTGAGCACTGCCAGCAGAGCAGGGCAGCTTTTAAAATCAAGCCAGTACATCTTGGCATCGGTGTCCCACAAAAAGGCAGCTCCCCAGCAAGAGCTGCTGCCCTGCAGAGCCCCCACCGTTCAGAACACACCCGCTCCAGCCCAGGGGCAAGTTCCCTGGCGTAGCCCTGTCCCATGGCCACATCCTGCCCTCCAAACACCTGCAAGGAGCCGCCCTGCTGCGTCCAGTACAGGAGTGCTGCTCCCTGGGGCTGGCCCCAGAGCTGGGAGAGGGGTCGGGCACGGTGCTGCCCCCACCTCATCCCCGAGGGTCATCCCAGGAGCACCAGAGCTGGCGGAGAAGAGGGAGGGCAGATCCCCGGGAGGGTCCACCAAGGCGGGACTGAGCCACCCCCGGGAGATGTCAGAGCTGCAGCTTTCTGCAGGGTCTTTGTGGCGTTATCACTGCAAGCAGCTAAATAAGCCCAGCCTAAGCAAACTTGCCTGTTCCCTCGGCTTGTGGAGAGGAGTAGAGCTGCCCCGGCAGGATCCGTGCGCACCAAGGCACCGGCTTGGAAAGGCCATGCAAAGGCTCTGCAAGAGCTCCTGGTTACGCTGGAGGTGGCTCTTCCAGCCCATCTCCGCCAGGTACAGGCAGCACAGCCGGGTCAGAGCAAAGCTCACCCACACAAGAGCCTCACAACGGCTACAAGGAGCGCTCTGCATGCTGAGTCAGCTTAGCGGCGGCAAGCTGCCATGGGATGCCCGGGGAGCTCACCCTCAGCAAGCTGCCCCAGCCCTGTTTGCTTCCTCCATCTCACGACGTGGGAGATCCCTGGCCCACGCGCCTCACCACCAGGAGCTTATCGATGTTACCAGCACCCGAGAGATAGACCAGGGACTGAAAAAACCTCCCTGCTCCAAACCCAGAGCCAGAGCCGGCTCCTGCAGCAGCAAACCCCCCTGCACACAAAGTCCCTGGCTTGGCCACCCTCCCTTTTTCATGGACGCAGAAGCACAGGCCACACCAAACCCCAAAAGCTGTTCCCCTCACACACCAAACCCAGGCTCTTGCTACCCAGGAGCTGCACAGAAACCGCCTCTCCCAGCCCTTCCCCATCAGGATCACGAGCCCCAGCTGCACCTCTCTGCCCACCCAGCCCCTCCCCAGCCCTCCAAGCTCTCCCACTCTTGTTTCTCGGTACAGACCCTTCCCTGGCTCATCCCAGTCCCTGCAGGACAAGGCAAAGACCTACACACCAGTACCAGCAGGGTGCTGGGCTACTTTGGGAACTTCCAAGGGTGCTGTGGGAGCACCCGGAGCAGCGTGGGGGGCTCAGACCCAGACATGCTAGTGCTGGCTGGAGGGAGGTGGGTGCAGGCAGCCCGGCAGGTTGGCTCCCACCTCCACCCGTGGCCAGACACAGCACGTGGCACTTGCTCATCGCTTCTTCCAGGACTTGTGCTGACCTGATAAACTCAATCCCCGTGTCAGCACCTCCCTGAACTCTCATCCCAGCTGTGGGTGCTGGAGCCAGCTCCCCAGCATCGCCGCAGCCCAAACCCTGCCGGGGAGGGAGTGGGGTGGCTGGGCCCCCCACTGCCAGATGGCATCTCAGCAGCACGTCGGGGAGCCAAACGCTTTGACGTCACCTGCCAGGATGTGGCGAAGCACCTCGTGATGCTTGGTTGACTCAGAAGATGACAACCCTCCCTGGGACTGGCCGATGCACAATAGGGCGCCAGGGAAGGAGTGGCCCGTGGCTGCCCGGGCACTGGCCACAGCAGCGGAGCCAGCCAAGCCCGGGTACGCTCTTTCATCACCCTGGCATTCACAAATATGACGTCCCTGGTCCACGGCCACCCCCCTTTTCCAGAAGATAACTCTGTGTACGAGTGTTGTGAGCACACGCTCCAGCCTTATCTTCAGCAAACACTCCCAAGGCCCTGCAGAGTCATTTGAGGGAGCCGAAGCAGCAATGCAAACCCACTCTTGAAGGATATTTCCTCCATCCCACCGCAAAGGGCCGAGCTCCAGAAAGCATCTTTCCCCGGCGCAGAGCCAGAGCAGCACAGTGAGGCTGGGCTGAGCTCCGCGCTCATCCGTCTGCCCTAATAATAAAGGCACAAAATGGTGCCAGCAGCTCGCTGGTGGGTTTCAGAGAGATGGCTGGGCAGGGAATGGGTCGGGGCTGTGCCCAGCCAAACCCCAAGGGCTCCAGGGATTCGGGTCCCTCCAGCCCCACTGACTGCAGGGTGGGCGGCTCTCTCGGGGGACGGGAACATTTCACCCATCCCTGTAGAATCCTCACCACTGCCACCTGCTCTGCACTGAACTGGAGAGGGACTCAGCAGTGCCGTGGGTATCTGGCCCTAGGGTGGCTTAGTGCTGGCAGCAGCCAGCATCAATGGTGTGTGGGGGGTGTCAGCTTCCTCCTGACCTCCTTCGTCCCCCCGTAAATCCGCTGCTCACACAAACCTCCCCGTCGAAACGCGGCCGCCGGCGCACGAGCAGCCCTGACGCTCCCTCTCTGCCCCGGCGGCAGGCGGAGCAGGCAGCGTGTGCTCCGTGATGGTGCAGCAGCCACCCCAGTGCGAAACCCCAGCCGTCCCAGTTTCACCTCCAGCCTCAACCCGCCGTGCCCATCGGCAGCGCCGATTCCTCCGGGTGCGTGGCCCAAGCCAAGCAGCGATCACGGGGTGGCGTGTTTGTAAACACAGGGAATCGGCGCGAACAGGACTCGCTCCAGTTTGGGTCTCGCTTTAGTGGTTGGATTAAAACCAAGAGGCAAAGTCCAGGAGAGGCTTGGAGCACAGGTTAGCTCCCTGTTACCTCACCCTGGGCTCCTCGCTGGGGCTGGACAAGCTGACCCTCGGGTCCCATCAGTTGTGGGTCAGGATCCTGGGCTGGCTCTGCGTCGGGGGACCCAGGGCTGGGCAGATCCAGGTAGGAGCTGAGTTACCTGCAGCCTGACGTGGGGGGGGGGAACCCACTCCTGGCTCCTCTCCCCTGGGTCTCCTCCACACCCTGCTCCGGGTATGGGCATGGTCCGCGTGCCAGGGCACGGCTGGTTTCCATTCCCAGCTCCAGCATGGTCCTCAGGCATGTCCCACCACCCTCACGGGCCAGTTTCCCCTCTCTGGACATCAAACACTTTGTGGGAAGCTGCTCCACACCCCAGCTGCGACCCGCCCTGAACACAGGGCGGTATGGGGTAACGGTGCTGCCCACCCGCCACGGCCAAGGGTGGAAACAGCCAGCCTCTGCCCGGGCTGCTGGGGATACTTCTGCTCCCCAAACCCGGCAGGAGAGGGGACCTCTGCCCTGGGGGGGACAGGAGGGGACAGGGAGAGCCCCTGGCTCCCAGCTGGGGAAGAGAGAGTGTCTGGACCCCAGGGCAGCCCAGCCAGCTGCATCCCAGCAACACCCAGCGCAAACCTGACTGTGCTCAGCTCACTCCGTGCAGGACCGGCTCCGGTCCCCACAGCCTCCTCCATTCCTGGGCAGCACCCAGGCAGCTGGTCTCTGTCGCACCGTCAGCACCCAAGAGCACCCAGCGCGGGGGTGAGGGGCACCCGTGGCACTCTCCTGGCACATTACCTGATGTTTGCAGGAGAGGAGGGCGGCTGGTCCCGCAGGCCAAGTGCTGTGCAGGCTCCCGCACACCCTGCTCACTTAGCTGCGCTCCCCGGGGCTCCCCGGGGCTCCCCAGGGCCCCCTGGGGGTCCCCAGCACCCTCACCAGCCTGGCACTGGGGAGAATAAGAAAGGGGCTTGGGGAGGTTGGAGGATGCAGGGAAGGCAGACATGCCCGACAAGGGGGAGATGCAAATTGTTGGAGTTTGGGAAATGCTGCAGCCTCTGGGAGTTTGTAAGCGGGGGGGGGGGGGGCAGCCCCGGGGATCCGAGTGGGCTGCGAGCAGCTTTACCCTGCTCCTGCAGTGGGGGGGGGGATCAGTGCAGCTCCACGGCGGCCAAACATCCCCCCCCCCGGACAATCTGCCAGCTCCGATCCTAAATCATCCCAGCGGGGACACACGGGGCTCGCAGCGGATCGGGCTGGATGCTGAAGGGGGTTTAATCCTGCCGGGGGCTGAGCACCCTCAGCCATCCCTGGTCTCAGCAATGGTTTCTTTGCACTGTGATGGGCTGAAGCCACGCGGGGATCCCTGCAGCCCCCCCCCCCCCCCCTACGGCCCTGGGGTCCTGCTTTGGGCCCCCCGGGGCTCGGCTGGCGGCCGTGGGCAGGACCCGGTGCCCAGGACCCCTTGGGGAGGGAGCAGAGCCTCAGATCAGCCAACAACCAGGGGCACAGCTGGGATAACCTGCACTAAGGGGCCCGCATCGGCACCCCAATTCCCCCTCCCCACCCCAGTGCACGGTGCCTCACGGTGGATTTGCACATCCCTGCCTCCCACCCCCCTTCCCCCCATCCCTCCTTACCTGGCTACGATCCGCTGGCTGGTGGTCGACTCCACCGTAGCGTAGTAGTGCCCGTAGAGGAGCAGGGAGGATGTTAAACCTGCCAGGAGCAAAAGGCAGATCCGTTTCCAGTGCGGGGACCCCATCCCCAGGCACTTCAACCGCTGGAGCAGCGGGAGCGTGGGAGCTGGCGCTGCCTGCCCCGGGCACGCCGCCGTCCCGCCGGTGCCTCACCGGGCCCTGCGAACTTCCCTCCCGGGCCGGTGGGTGCAGACACGGCTCTGGCCTGGGTCCCTCCTGCCCTGGGTGCCCAGCTGCACCTTGGAGCAGGCTGGGATATTCCTCTGAAGCGGTGGGAGGGAGGGTGTGAGCCGGAGGGAGGAGGCACCAGGCTGACTGGTTCAGACTTGCTGAGAAAAAAAGCACTTTTGAGCTCCTTTTTCTCCGAGCTGGGGATTAAACATTTACTCAGACCAGCAGGGAAATGCGCTTTTTTTGCCTCCTTTTCATGCCACCCACCTACCTACAGCTCACAAAGCACGGAGGTTCCCCTTTTCTGTAACTTTCTTGTTCGACTAAAACATGTGCTTTCACCGCCGGCTGCTTCACAACCGGCAGCACGCACAGCCCACGCCAACACCCGGCGACCCCACGGTGCAGCCAGCGCCGAGCGTGGCCGGAGGCATCTGCTGTTTATTAGAAGTTTATCAGAAACTCCAGACTCTGAAGTAAAGCCGAGCGCCAGCTCTGGGGTGCCCGACAGCAGCGCCCCAGCACATACCCGCACCGAGCCCCTGGCAGGCAAACCCGCCGCTGTGGGAGCGAATCTGCTGCAAAAAGGGAAAAAGGGGACACACACACACCCCCCACACACACACACACGACACCGGGGGGTGCTGCGTCTGGGCCCCTGGCTGCTTTCTGGCTCAACAGATCGCTCCCCCACAACGGGGTTTTGCAGCACACAAAACCGTTTAGGGTTTTGTGCTGAGTTCGTTCAACAAATAGTTTGGGCTGGGGGAAAAGCAAAACGGGTTTGGGGGGTTTGGGGGGGAATCTGAATGAAGCATTTTGACATTTTTGGAAGGGAAGTGGTTCGGTTTCTTTTTTGAAAGAATATTTCAACATTACTTTAGTTAAACTCATCTAAAAAAAGAAAACAGCCGTGCGAACTAAGGGATATGCATACCAAAATGTTTGTTACAGCGGGGGAAGGGACTCAGCAAGGAAAACAAGTGTTTTCAGTTCATTTGCAGTGATCTGGGGGGCGGGAGGAGGTTGGCTTTTTAGGAAGCCTCCGGGAGCAGCAGCACGGTGAGCCCTTCTCCATCCAATCCCTCAGCCCTGCGCCTGCGGCTCCCCGAGCACCCACATGTCACCCCAGGGTGTCACCCACCTCCAGCCCTCCCCAAATACCCGTTGTCATTATTCAGACCCAGAAACCCCGGGGCTAAACCCCATCCCTGCTCCCACCCGCACACCCCCAGGCCGGTGTATTTACAGCTGCATTTTCCCCCAACACTCATCCCCCCCAGATCCAACCACCCCCCACTTCCATTCCTCCCGCACAGACGTGCTTCCAGTGATGCCACTCGTTCAAAGGAAGAGAAGTGCAAAAAATCGTTTCATGTGAGTTTGCTTCAGTCTCCATATCCTTGCACTTCTGCAGGTCTCCCAGTTGCTGGCCCTGGTCCTCTGGGAATTTTGGCCGCGTGGGGATGGAAGCGCCCCGGCTGCACCGATGGCAATGCCCTGGTGTGAACACGGGAGCAGGTCAGCGACCCAAGGCTGGCAGCGGGGCAACGCTGGCCTCGTCCCCCTGGAAGAGTGGATGTTGGACCCGGGTCACCACGAGAGGATGGTGGCCAGGCTGATTTAAAATCAAACTTCCAGGGAACAAGCCCTGTTGTTGCCCGGGGGCTGGGGAGCTGTGGCAGGCAGGTTTGGCTGGGCACGGGGCGTCTCGGGGAAAGAGAGAGCAGGAGGGACAGGACAGACCATCACCGCTTGGACAGCCAGGGATGAAATCAGGTCTAGAGCTCAGCTGGAGCTAAAACTACAAAAGGAAGGGCAGGAGGAGGGAGCTAACATGTACCCCAGCAGCAAATGGCAGCTCAGAGAAATGTGGGTGCACTGATGGAAGAATTTGCTGCTTTTTGCGTCTACCAGTAAAGCCTGTTCCCAGCCCCCCGGGGCACCAGCGTTGTCTAGAAGACTCAGGGCCAGCAGAGAGGGGACAAGAGTCTGGGGTCCTGCCCAAAAGTGCCCCAGCCTGGAGCCTGTCCCCTCCCGGTGTGACTCAGGGATCGCCCTTGTTGGCTCTGACCCGATGGGTTCGCTCCCTGTGACCCAGCGCCTCCGCTCGTGTGCTCTTGACTCTGGCCCTTTGTTCATCACAGCTAATTATTACCAACTGTTCTAGTAAGTCACAGGGGACATAGCGAGGCTTGGCCCGGGGGGTGGACATCGGTCTGGATCCAGTGGCTTGAGGAAAGTCAGGAATTTGCCATTTGGAGACATTTATGGCCCGATTATGCAAATGCTGGTGAGTGGCAGCTTTGGTGCCCAGAGGGAGGGAGGAGCTGGTTTCTTCACACTGCTCTCATCTCTCTGTTTCCATGATATATGGCTTTCTACTGTTGGATTTTTTTTCAAAGGGGTGAAAATGAGATGCACAGTTCTTCATCTGCTCTACTTGTTTTGTGCTACAATGCATTTTGGCCCATGCCCCAAAATTAAGTGGTGCTTATTTAGAAGTTACATAAGTGCAAAAACCTTTTAGGATGATAGTTGCCAAATAAAGATTAGGAAAAGAACACAAAAGAAATTACAATGAAAACCAGCAAGTATCATTTTTAGCCTGAGCTTTTTATTCCAGTGATTACTTCTTGGAAACAAAACCCAAGCCATCCACCTGGCTAGAGAAAGCAAGATGAAAATAAGCACATTTTGCACCAGCTAGCTGTTGGCTATGGGTTGGTGGAGCAAAGTCTTGTGGTCTTTGCCATGATGAATTGTCCATCTGGGAGAAAGAGTTCTCCAGAAATCTCCTGGAGGATTTATATATCCTAATTTGTTCAGCACGGGTCAGAGGTGCATTTAAGAAAGTGCCAAAAATCTGTTCATAGGAAATTTCCCTGAAATGCAAAGTCTGGACCTGGGAACGCGCTGCTGTGTCAGCCCCGCTGGAGAACATGGGGCCATATGGCTGCCTGTGGAGGCAAGGCCACGGCATAATGAAGAATTTGTCAGCAGATGTCTCGGGAGGCTGACGCACAGCCCCTTCCCGATGGGGCGGGAGAGCAGCGGGAGCGCCTCGGCCAAGCCTCCTCTCGCCAGGTTCCCCGCAGAAACGGGGTCAGGCAAAGCGCCGGCCCGCACCAAGGCTGCCTGGGCGGTGCTGTGGATGCTCCCCGAGGGTCTCGGCTTGGATTTGTAGGCGTTACTGCAACCAAGGTGAGCAGGTAAGTGACAACACGGAGGATGCTTAGACGTGGGGACCCCGGCACCCCAGGCGGGACCAGAGATGCTCAAGGCTGAGCTCAGCACCGCCCGCCGGCAACCGCAGCGATGGGCTCTGCCTTTGCCTGCAACCCCAGGGCAGGGGCAGGGGCAGGGGCAGGGGCTGTGCGGCGGCGCTGAGCTGCCGTGCCCCATCTTTGGGCCGGTGTGGCAGGACGGGGCGAGCCACGGGCCGAGGCGGCGGGTTGGGACCTCGGCTGCGGTGGCTGTGCGCGGTTTCCGTTGGCTCGCTCCCCCCCCGGCGCTGCTGGGGCCCAGCCCGGCTCTTATCGCCGAGACGGCTGCGCACGGCGGAGCCGTCGGTCAGCCCCGGACCGTCGACCGGGACCCAGATAAGCCAAACACACAGTCCGAAGGCCATCTCCTCTCCGCCGGGCGTGATGCAACCTGCGAGGCTCTGGATTATGCCCTGGAGGGGCGGCAGAGCTGAGAAAAACCTTTGAGAAATTAGGGTGACAATGCAAAACGCTGCCTTCCCCTTTCTTGCCAGCTCTGGACCAGGCAGAGCGGATGTGGACAGATCCTGCCCTGTTCTGAGCAGCGTAAACGGTCCCTGAGGTCTGATGAAACATGGAAGCCTCAAAACCACATGGCCCAGGGCTCGGGCCAGGCTCTGTCCCCACAGCTGGGGAGAGGGGACACCATCTCTGAGTGCGGGTGGGCACCCAGCCTGTGCAGTCCTGACACCGCCAGGCTGCTGTGGGCGGGTGGAGGGAGCCTGGGGATGTCCTCAGGACTCAGCAAGCGTCTTTCCAGCATTTACCACCCCAAGGGCTGGGTCAGGCCAAGCTGGGAAAGCCCCACAGCACCCAGGGTCCTGCTGCTCACCCTGGCAGAGGAGCAGGGCCTGCCACAGCTCCTTGGCGTGAGAAGCAGGGGCTGCTGCATGCCCAGGAGGTGTTTGCCTGCAGGGCCCTGCCCGGGCACCTGGAGATGAGGGCTGGCTGCAGGGGAGGTGCCTGGAGGTCACCTGGTGCTTTTTGCACAACAAAGCCATGGGCTGCTCCTTTATCTTGTTCTCCCTCCCTTATTATCAATAGTTTTTCTGGTCTGACTGGATTTCCCTGCTGCCACATCCCCAACGAAGAGAGAAGGTCCAACAGCGGAGGTGAGGAGGGTGAACCCCCCAACCCCTGTGCACTGAGGGTCTGCTCCAAACCTCACTCCACTTGGGGAACATAAATAGCATCTGGTAAGTCACCAGCATAGAGGTTTTTGTGCTGACCTGGAGCTGGCACTCACCTCTGCTGCGCTCCCATGGTGCCCGGTCAGCCACAGCTGCTTCAGCGTGATGCATCCAGAGAAAGCACCAGCTCCAGGCTGGGCAACTGGGCGCTGGTGTCCAGCTCTGGCTGCTCGTTGCCTCTGATTCTTGCCTGGGAACAAGAGAGACAAGGTTGACAATCTGGATGTGCCAGCATGGCACCAGGCTGCCTTGGAGCCAGGTGTGGCACGTGCAGTGGCTCCCTCCGGCACCTGGTTGGGTTTGGTCTTGGCTGCCAGCGCTCGCAGGCACCCCAAGCCCCGGGACATGGTGCAGAGCCCATCTCATCCCCACCCCTGGTCAGCCCAACCCTGCTCTGCACAGCCAGGCTCCGGAGAACAGGGTTGACCAGAAGCAGGGACGAGATGGGCTCTGCACTGCCCGCTCGCCCCCACGGGGCATCCCCGTCCCAGCAAGCGCCCGTCCGCTTCCTCCTGCTTCAGCCCCTGCCCCAGTCGAGGAGCTACGTGCATGAGAACATGCAGCAGGACACAGCCCCTGCTTCTGCTAGGCAGGCCAGCAGCCACACCGCAATAAGGGAAGAGGTGGAAACCAAACAAAAGATTCGAAGCCCTGCCAGGAAGGTGACACCTCAAGAGTTCCTGGGTGACAAGTGGATTTGTTTCCCACAACCTGGCAGGGAATATTTAGAGGCTGTTAATTCCTGGGGAAGCCCAGGAGTCGGATGTGGCTGTAATAATGGCTCATGGTACTCACCAATAGCTTCCCAAAAAAGCAGGGCTGAGGCAACAGCAGCTTCCAGACATGTTAAAGCACAGTTGTGTATTTCATCCCCAAATCAGACGTCCCTGTTTGAATCTGGCAGACCCCGGAGCTCCTGGCTGGCACTGGGAATCATGTCCATGCACAAGGAGAGGTTGCTGTGTCTGAAGCATCTCTCAGGACATCAGACCCGACGCTGCCGTTGGTCCCTCCAGTTGTGCTGCCTTCAGCACCATGCCAAGCCGAGGCTGCACCTTTGCACACACTTTGTAGCTGCAAGAGTGGCACTTGCAGGTACCAAACCTCTTCTGTGCGTGTCCCTACACACCCCATGGAGCTCCCAGGCCATAAATCCTACAGGCAGGCGGGTGTTATAAAGGGAAGGACACCGGGGGACAGTAGTCTGATGCAGCGTGGGCAGCTGCAGGGCTGCGCTCAGCCCTCGGATGCAGCTTGGACCAAAGCTGGATGTGCCAGCCATGGCGCGGTGCTGACGGGTCCCTGAACAGGAGCTGCCACCTGGTGGCACTGGGACAATCCTGCTGGCCACCAGGCCCTGCATGGGGACATTGGGGGTGACCCTGCCCCACGGCACTGCGTTCAGCTGAGGCTCCTCCGGCACAGCCTGGCATCGCCGCTTTCGCCCTGGGACACCCACCCTGGCAGGGGACTCGCCCAAGCCCTGAATTCTGCCTCTCACCAAGGGTGCTCCAGCCGTAGCTGCCCTCCAGAGCTTTTGCTGCGCTACTTTGTGCCAGGCTGGAAGTTGGCTGGGAAATGCCACTTCCAAACCCCCTCGACTTCCTGCGGCTGCTCCGGACCTGATGCCGCAAGGTCAGGTGGCTCTGGCCAGGCACAGCTGGATGCGTGATCCAGATGTGTCCCCTCGGCCAGCCCACGGTGGGATGGGATGCCTTGGTGCAGGGAAGACAGGAGCAAAGTGAGGAGATGAAGAGGACAGCCAGGTCAGAGCTGATTTTCTGAGGCCAGAGAGAATGTGGATTTGAGCCTGCTGGAAACTCCAGAGCACAGCAAAGGCCCTTCTCCAGCCAAGGTCATCCCTGATAACATCAAACTATGCCAGCTGTGTTGAGAGGAAAGCCTGGAAAGAACAGGCTCTGCTGGTGGGGAAAGCCTCCTGGGAAGTTTCCTTCCTTTGACTCTGGGAAGCCTCAGCTGCACCGAGGAGCTGGGCACTGGGGGAAAGTGTGGGCTGGGGGCTGCCAGCCCATCCCCAAAGCCTCCTTGCCCACCATGATCCCCTTGTTCAGCAAGACTCAGCCCCATCCCGCTTCCCAGAGGAGGGGGAAACAAAAGAGGAGGAGGGGGAAGGGAAGGGTGTAAGAGAAACTTCTTCCAACTTCTCAGGAAGAGAAAAGCCCTATTCAGGCAGGAAGAATACCCGTGCGGAGCTGGTCACTAAGCAACCCACAGCAATTTGGTATGGCCCAATGCAGGAGCAAGGAACAAAGCTGTCTCACTGCCCACCAAGAGCCCAGCCGAGCAAGTGCTGGACAGAGAGAGCCTGCAGGGCCTGGGGACAGGGGACACCAGCCGTGCACAGCCACCATGAGTGGCTGAGACATCCAGGCGGGTCCAGAGCTCCAGGGTGCTGCAGAGTTTGTCCTCGGTCAGCTCTGGAGAGTGACTAGCCTCCATCAGGCTCCTCCTTCACAGGGAGGCCGTTTGCTGCTCAAGAAGGATTTCTGGTCTGCTCCAAAGCCCACGGCTCCCCCTGGGTCTGGTGCTCACACGGAGCTACATACATCGTACCCAACAGAGGCACGGTGCATTCCGGATAACTCCCGGCTCCCACAGACACTGCGGCGCTTGTATGGGCAGAGCAGCCAAACACAGGCTACACCCTCTCCCAGATAAACTGAATTCTTCATTTAGATTATCAGTGGTGGTGGGGGTTGTCCTTTGCAAATAAGTTTAGTGAGACATGAGAAACTGCTTGGGCTCTCTGAAGCGCAAGGGAAAAGGGACAAAGGAAATCAGGCCTCACAAACCCTGCCGACAATCTGTGCTGAAATGCCTCCCTCGGAACCCGGGGGTCCCTGGAGACACTGCGGCCCCCAACAGAAATGCTGCACAAAAGGAAAAGCACTCACAGCGAGCACGGGTGCACTGGGACCAGTCAGTGCACAGCTGGGCCCCAGTCCAGAGCCTGATGAGCCCAGGGAGATGCACCAGACCTGCCTGGACACTGGAAGTGGCTTTTTGCCTGCATGGTGTCCTAGGGGAAACATCCAGCCCTTCAGGCATTTGCCTCCAGCATCCGATGTATTTGGAGAGCAGTTACTGGGACAAGGACAAACTCACCAGGTGTTTACCCATTTCCTCAGGGCCAGCTCTGATCCCCATCCTGTGATAGCAAGGTGAACAAGTTGGGGATGCCCAAGTACGTCCACACAAGCTGCAGAGCACCTGCAGGTGGAGGTGCTCTCATTAACACTCAGTCCTGACCCTTCTTGGCTTCATCATCCACTATCTCAGCCTTTAAGCAGCTGCTTTAGATGCACACAAAATAACCACAACCCACAGGGCTGCAATGAAAAATCAGCTCAGCCAAAGTAGTGCCATTTATTTTGCTTGCAAAACCCCTTTAGGAAGGCCAATACGCTGCAGGCTGGCTGGCTGCAACGGGGCTCCTCTCAGCACGATGGTGCACAGGCACTCCAGCCAGCAGCAAGGACGGACAGCACCCACCCCTGGACTTGGAGAGCTCCTCCCTCCCCTGGCAAGAGGGCAAATACGGCTCTCCCGGCACAGCTGGGAGCCGAGCATGTGAAATTCCAGCTAAACAAGGACTTGGCACATCAGGACCACGACACAACATTCACACGTCCTGCAGCTGGGGGAGCCCCAGAGCAAGAGGCACTAAGTCTGGTATGCCTGCTGTGCCACCGAGAGCACTGGCCTGCCCTCGAGCTGATGGTGCTGCTCTTTCCGAGGTGTCATGATGAGGCCACACTGGGGAGCAGAAGTGAGACTCATCCTCTCTCAAATTAGTCACCTGAAAGTGTCCAGGTCATCTTTTCTATCTGCAGGGAGCAAAGTGAGAGCAGCACCTCCAGGAATGAAGTCAACCTAAGGCAGGATCCATGTGTCCACCTCCATTCGCTGGCTGCTGAGGGAGCTTGCTTAGACAGTACACCCAGCCCCAAGACGGGCATCACTGATGGAGAGGATCCACCCAGAACAGAAGGAGCCCCCATCCTGAGGAGCATCTCCTTGCACAGAGAGAAAACCTGAATGAAGATACAGGACACTGGACCATATGCTATCCAGATCCATCCTGGATTCTTCTCCCCCAACACCAGTGTCTACAACCATCAGCAACAGTCTTGCAGCACAGCCAGATGAGAGTTCTTTGCTGGTGTGCTGCATTTTTCTTGCTGTTCTCATGGTCTGTAGCATTTGCACATTTGTAGAAATGTCGTGAGAGAATAGGGGTGCTGAAGGAGGTAAGTATCTTTGTGGGGATGAAATGTGCCTGGAAGCTCAGAGCTAACCTTGGCTTTGGTGGTCCTCTTCCATTCCCAGTGAGGTGCTGTTGAGACTTCCCAGGCAATGGCCCTTGTCACACGATCAGGATCTCTGGTAAAGCTTCATGATATTCTCATCATGAAGCTTTTTCCACACCTGCTTCTCCAGGTTGAAGTCGTGGTTAGTGTAGAAAATCAGACGTTTCCAGTCCTTGTCATAGTAGTGATCTGAGTATTTCTCATGACCCTCCGTGATGTAGCCGTAGGCACTCACCTGGAAAAGACAGAGGGCTCACTGGGGAGAGGAACCAAGGTTGGAGGGAGCCAAGTGAAATACAGGACACAGTTCCCAAAGCGGGAGGGAGCACAGGACAGCAATATCAGTCCGGGCTCCTCCGGGTGACTCTGCATGGGACTCCAGAAGGACCAGACTATGAACACTGGCTCCAGAGTTCCTGCTGTCCTCTCACTGCCTCCCTGGGGGGCAGGATGGCTCTCAGGCCACAGCAGCTTCACAGCTTCTATGTAAACTATTTTGAGGCGGTTTCTCTTGTCTTCAATCTGCTCCTCCGCAGCTGACAAGAACCCATATACCCTCAAGGCAGGTAGTAGGCAGGGTCAGAGCCACCCCTGCTCCATCCTGTTATCCTACCCCCTTCTAGACAGCACTGTGTGCAAGAATCATCATGCCCCTACCCGGTCACAGAGGTGGAGGGCAGTCAGCAGCAGGAAGGCCCCTGTTGTGGGTCTATACAGCCGCCAGTAGGGCTTTTCCAGAGTCTTAGATTTTAAAAACCTGCAGCAGGAGAGAAGAAAGCACAATGTAGTTGCTGGGTGTGGTAGTTCAAGCTGGGCACACCTTGTCCCCCTGTGGCCTGTGTGGCATCTTCCCTCCTTGCAGCAGTTTGTGGCCATAGAAGACATTTCAGACAAGCCCTGAGTATGCCCACATGTGTGGGTACTGCTGTGCACTCAGTAAAGCACAAGGCCAGCCCAGAATGCTCCATCACTTGCACTGCAGCCTAAGCCCAGCTCTGCCCCAGCTTTATGGAAGTGGTAGGTCTTGAGGCAGTGGAGATAAAGAGGGGGTGGATTAACGGATCTAGTATGTTAAAGCCCACTCTTAAATCTGTCCTTTGCCTTGCAGTGCAGAAGTGGCTTTGAAGCTCCCTGGTATATCCTGTTCCCCATCCACATTTAGGAGTGAAATGAGACACAGGAAAGGTACAGAGGAGTGTCACAAAACCTGCTAGGAGCTGCAGTGTTTTATGCCAGCAGGTGTGAGGCAGGTAGGTGTCCACACCAGGAAAAAATAGCATTTGAGCCCTCCTGACCTTGGAAAGGACCCAAGTCAGAGGGGAGATGGCAGAACGAGCAGGGAGGTGCACGCCATCTGGCACTGCATTTGCCTTCTCTCGGAGAAGGCATAACTCAGCTCTCAAGGAGACTGAAGGGTAAACACAGCCAAAGCACGGCACAACAGAAGCTCTTCTTCCTACATCTCCTGGTCACGTGTAGCCCATGATTGGCAGATCTTACAGTGAACGTGTCCAGCAGGCTTGTGAACAGGATTAGAGAGGCAAAGAGCAGCAGCCAGGCCAGGAAAATGGGATACTGAAGAAATGCCTCTTAATGTGTTTGAGAGCACAAACGACCTCCTGAGTCAAGAAGGGATCTTGGGAGAGAAGGGCTGTTACAGAGCCTTCCTCCAAGGAGCTAAGGAACGGGGAACGCAAGAGGTTGGTCCTGAACTAGATCAACTATTCCGGAACTTTAGCAACACTCTTCCCACATCTAAAGTTACCATTTGCCCAGGACCTCTTTTGGATGCAGAAAGCCAAACTGTCTGATGACTGTTGCTTCTCCAGCTCACAGATGGTGGACATCTACCCACCACTAACACCCCACTGCAGCACCACAGAGAATTTAACTAACTGTGCACTGATGAAGCTTACCCCCAATCTCCTGGTGTGGCTAAATTGCAGTTACAATGGAGTGATCTGGGAAGAAAGAGCCCAGAGACAGACAGAGATGGTGCTGGACAGAAAAATTAAGTCCGTTAGAGCACATAACTGCCAGCTCACCTGTTTTTCATGTATCTGAGGAAATCAGGGTGAATCACCAGGTATTTGTCCATTGTGAAATCTTCATCAAATCTCTCCCGGGGCCTCTGCCTAAGGAAAGGAATGGGGAGACTCAGGACAAGCACCTATATTTCATCACAGCTGGAAAGCATCAGCCCCGATGCACTCAGTGATAAGGAAAGAACCACAAACACTGTTAAATTATTCTACAACATTCCCCAGATTATGACAAAACCTCCATAACCTTGTACATTGAAGAAGAAGCGATCAGGAAGGAGAGGCAACAGCAGGAGACAGCAATATCAAAAGCATGTGTGTGTAGAGATAAGATTTGGCAAAACCAGGCCTTCACCCATGAGTAGGCCACCACGTACAGACACCAGACCAGACAACAGCATGTGCTTATCCCAGAGAACCACAGAGCTTTCTCCAAGCTCTGGCTACACATCATTGAAATCAGCTCCTTCTGGGAAGGAGGTATATTGGTTACAGCAGTGCTCAGAGCTATGGAGGAAATAAGATATTTCTCTAGACAAATCTCCTAGGGGAGCGAGGCTTTAACCTGGCTTTACCCTGGCCTGCACCTCAGCAGGGCTGAGCACTGACTGTGGAGAGGGAAAGGGCACAACAGAGAGCTCTGCACTGAAGGGTGTAGAGGTGGGGCCAATTTCTTTTACCCATAGTGATTCAAGAATCCTTTCCTGATGTCTTTGTTCAGCAGAAGAGCCTTCAGCCACTCATAATCTCTATCTCCCTCCAAGAAGTGAATGTATCTGACATGCTAAGAAAACAAGCAAGCATTATTGAACAGCACAAGAAAGACACATCTTTTAAAAACAAAAAGCAAGCAGGCATCTAGGCTCACTGAGTTTCTTGGATACATATCTTCAGATTGCAGCTTTTAACTATCCCACAGAAGCAGAATGGAGATAACATCTGATATGCAGCTACTTCTACAGGCCAAAAGGCTGGAGTAGGACTGACACAGCTTGCCACTGCAAATACTCAGTCTGAGCCAAGCCAATGCAGGTTCCCTCAGTAAGGGTAAAGCGTTAACTCAGCCCCTTTGCTCCTTGTGCATGGCAACATCAGAACTGCAGGCCACAGACTAACAGCATCCTGCCAAAGCTGTGCATGCGTACAGCCTGGACCTGACTTACTTTTCCCCGTGGGATGCTGCTGAAACCTCTATGTCCCAAGATCTGGAGAGAGGACACCAGGGAGTAGGCTGTGAATCCATAAAAGGAGGTTTTTGTTCCCACATCTTTTTCGTAACCTTTGATTACAGCCCCGCTCACCCTGTCCAAGGAAATTAAACAGAGGAGCAGAGTCAGAAGGTGACCACTGAAAACCCTCTCATCCATGTTTATAACAGGAAAAGACAGCGTTAGTCTGGAGGAAGGGAGGATTAGGCCCATTTTAAACTACAACTCTTGATCTGCAGGAGAGCCCCTGCTTTGGAGATGGCTCTTTATGGCTTATCTGAGAATCCAGGCTCTTCTTGCGTGTTTAGGAACTTTTCATTTCCTTTTTGTTTTTTCACCTCCTCCTGTCATCAGTCATTTTGGCACTTGGGAGTAAGTGCAATACTAGAAGAGGTGAAGTTATCCAGCCATAATTATCTGCTGGCCAGAATAAGCTAGCTGTGTATCTTCTAAGAAGGAAGAATTCCTTACCGGAAGACATAGTCATGGGAGTCAATCTCCTGGCCCATCCCAGAGTTATTCAATATTCCTCCATTCCCCACGACAGCACAGCTGATACATGTTGGCATGCTGCTGTTGCCATTGGCCAGGAGCAGCTGCTGGTGGGGATTCGGAGGCAGCAGGGACATGACCTCCTTCACCACTGTGAAGTAAACATGGTGGAGAGTTAGCACCAAGAGCCTTCAGGATGGACACAGCGAAACCACCACAGTTTCCACCACGAGATCCACCTAGCCTGGTGCCTTTGACAGGGAGACGCTGCAAACCTCCAGCTACTTGGCATAAGGTTCTTGTTTGGAGTTTGACAGTCCCATCCTGACATGCCCTGATGGACTCACGTGAATAATTCAGCTCCATGAAGCCATATGGAGGTGCAAAATGCTCCAGGCGGTCCCACTCACTGTCACTGAAGTATCTCTTGTCTGTGAAGAGCATGATGTTGGGCAGGAAAAGATCTCGCAGCCAGTCAGACTTGGCAGCTTTGGCCCTCACTGATTCAGAGCAGGTCTTGAAAAACAAAAAGAAAACAATAAAGACTGATTAGAAGGGAGCTGATAAACCTGACTGAGTGCTAGTGGTTGTGTGCCTGTGTGTGAGAGTATAGGAAAGAAGCACAAAAACTCCAGTGGTATATCATCCATTCCCCTCAGTGTCTCCACCACTGTGAACATGAGGCATAATTTCAGCACTACATCAATAACTAGCTGGTGGAAAGTCACCAAGAAGAAAGCCTGAGTGACTCCAGGTCCCTGAAACTTTCCTCTTCAGAACAACAGGCCTGCGATGCTCATGTGTTTTACTGGCTTTGGGTCTCATTAACTGACGCAAATTAATATCTGTAATAGGTCTAACCTAAACGTACCAAATAAGGCTAGCAGTCCCTGTTGGCAACGCACCTCACAACGTCCTGGACTCAGAGTGCACATTTGCAAACACATTGAGGAACATGCGAGATGAGATCACCATTATCACTCCCTTTAAAGATATGAAAAAGTGTGCAAACAACTTGTTCAACGTCATAAATGAATCACAAAGAAGTATGTAGCTGAGAAGGGAATCCAAGCCAGCTTATCCTCTCTGACAAGAGGGGTATCACTGCAGCTGGCAAGAGTTAGGCTGTGTGGGCAGATGGAGAGCAAACAACTCTACTGCGCTGGATTTTCCACTGAGTCAATTTGGGCTCTACTTTCTTAGACATCTTCCCTAAATACCTACTGCAATACCTACTGCAATACAAAACGGAAGACCAAGGGGGCCCACATGTCCAACTCAAATCCCCAGCAATGACCAGACTGTACTGCCAAAGCCTTGCTATGTGTTCCACAGCTGAGCTGGGCTCTCTGCTACAGGTGAGGATGACAACCTGGTCACAGCCTGAGGAGACAGCCCACATTCTGCCTGTCACAACAGGAGTGCAAGGAGAAGAACATTGTGGACGGTTTCATGTTGGCATCCTTTCACTTGCAGCACAGTTCATGTCCAGAGACAGGGACATTCCCTTCCTGCTCAAGCTGTACTCTGTACTGTCCAAGGCTTGGTACTTCTTGTGCCTCCACAGCTAGACTGGATCAGTACCAGAGGAACTAGGGAAAAGTCTGATCATTTAGGAAAGGAAGGAGGTGGGAGTGCTTCTAGTCACTCCCTCTGTCTGCAGAATTAGGTATCAGGTTTGGGAGCAAGACCCCATATGTGATGTCTGGATCCACATCTTCACTAGACCCCTCTGTGTGCATTTTCTCCTCTTTTCTGTACTGAGGAAGGGTTTTCCCCACTGTTTTAGCTGTTCTGCACACCCAGATCCTCTGCAGCTTCAGTTACAGTGGAGGATATCCTCAGCTTTCTGCTGTGAACTGTTGTCTCACATTCTTCTGCCAGCTCCTGCTCTGCACTTCTTAGATGGTCACACGTGCTCCACAGCTCATCAGATGAGAAGGTGGGAGTGCCTGGCAGTCAATGAGCAGGAACCTGGTGACCTAACCTCACTGTGTCTACAGGTGGTAACGCAGGGCAGGAGAAGTGAGGTACTGTCTCATGTGGCATGCGTGCTCTTAGCCATGTAATTTGCCTACTCCCATTTGTATTGTGGGTGCCTCAAGACCTTGGGGAACCCAGGAAGAAGGATGCACATCCTGGACCACAGACTGGATCATCTGTCAGGCCCTTCTGCTGTGACTCAGTAAGGCTGGGCCAGTGCATGAGCTCAAGTGTTTAACAGCCAAGTTCCACATTTAATAGTCACAGATCTTTGGATAACAGAGGTATCTCTGGGGCCAGCTGCTCCTCTCAAGTAGCTCAATGCCACACTGAACAGCACATCCCATTAGCAAAAGAATGGCTTGCACTGCCAAAAGGGGCAAGGGGGAACAACATCAAAATACCACAGGGCAGAGAGAACTCAACAATAAAACATCAAAACAGTAAAACTCACCTTAGGAGTTTTTATCAGCCCAGTTCCTCTACCTCTGCTCTCTGCATGTCTCCCAGGGCAGCCTGGGGTGGGGGAATGGGATTACATCTTTCAAGACTAGCCCCTGCTCCATCGGGAGAGGTCTGGGCAGAACAGCATGGTGCCTGCAGCCCTGACGTTCCCCTGGAGCAGCATCTACATTCCCCGTAATACCACCAAAATGACACATGGCAATGGTGAAAGGTTGTGGCACTGAGGCTTTAAATAGGCAAATGGCTCATCTAAGACCACCAAGCTAGAACGTGTTCTCCTGTCCTCTGCTCACCTGCCTACACCCTCTCTCCTCTCTGACCACCAGCAGTGTGTAAAGGCCACTTACACCCATGTGTAAAGACCTTCCTCAATCTAGAGAGGGTTATCTGCCTGTCCAAGCCTTCTAGCAACAGGGGTGCCATGGAAAACTGCTCTGGGTAAGCTTTACAAAAAGTTCCCAGCATAAGATGGGGGACAGGGACAGTATTGTGCACCCCAGCTTGACCCATCTGCTTGCTGAGAACTTTGCTATAGTTTACGACTTTCCTGAAGGCCCTGGTCCCAGACCTGAGTAATTATGAGGTGCCCAAATCTCCTTTTAAATTAGTTCCAAACCCTCATAGCTACACAAAGGAAAGGTCAAAAATATGGTCAGAACAAGAGTTCAGTGCAAAACAGAAAAGACAGGCTTTTAATTCCATGACTGTTAAAACATCCCGATGGTGGGCACCACACTTACCATTTTGGAAGATCTCATCAGCAATATGACCTACACAGGCAGAGGTGACCACAAGAACTAACCTACAGAAAAACACTCCCAACAAACAGGATCCGTAAGAAAACTTAGAAGCTGTAGCTGTGCAAGTGCTACTGCCCTGACAGGTACAACTGTATCATTTGAGATTCTCATCTTCATCTCTACCAAAATATGTTATGTGTGCTGACCAGGCCTACAGTTGCTCCTATTTAACAAAGAGGAACAAAGCAAGCCTTGTTGAGTGCCAGATCTGTTACAAATTATTTGCTCTGTTGTGATGATGGTTCAACGCAGAACAAGAAAATCCCAGATAACAACCCAACATGCTGGGACCACTGAGTCGTGGAGCTCTGAATGGGTACAGAATCTGCTTGCTCACTACAGGTATCTACATGCAGGGTGGAAAATATGAATTAGCAACACCTGGGAAAGACTCTCCTTTTGTTGATAATAAACCACAAGAACAGTAAAAAAAGTTACTTTTTAACCATCATTTCTTCAATGGGGCACACATACACATAGTTGAATTTTTGCCAATATTGACAGAAAACCTTAAAAATGGGAACGGTCCCCACCCTACTGTCTCTAAAGCAGGCAGGTACATGCTTATCGATTCTCATCTAACCCATTTTTTTTTTTGACCTTATTTTGACTTTAATACAAGCAACTAACAAAGGCTCTGTTCCTGTGCACTGAGACCCTCCTCCCCACCACTGCCAGCGTCATTCTTCACAGCCCAGCACAGCATGAGCGTCACTGCTGCCCCACTGCTGCCAAAGCTTTTGACTTGCTTTGGTATGTGTGTGCTTGGGTAAACAGGCACATGGAGGCATTCCTATTCCTGTTCCCTCACCATGACCCTGCTTTCTTTCTGCATAAAACAAAGATCAAGGCAAATCTGGGGATTGGAATCCTGAATCTTTATTAGGTATGCAGATGTTCAGTTTCCCAAGAGATCGGGTGAGAAATGGGATGCCTGTATGAGGACTGTCATTTAAGGCCAGACACCTAATGCCTGCCCATAGGCATCACAAGCCCAGGTGTGACCCAACTTACCTTAGGGTGCCATGTCACATATACACTGCATTGTGTGCCTAAGTCCCCTATGCAATATATCAAGGCACCTAAGAGTGGGACCACCTTGTAGCACATCTAGGAGGAGAGAGATTTTCCCTAGCTTCTGATGCATCTAAGCTCCAGAAAGGGCTGCTCAGGCTGACTTTCAAAGGAACCCATGGAAATGTGTGCATTTGCAGCAAGTTCCCATACTGGAACATGGTGGAAGACTGGTCAGGGCTACTGAGTCATACATACAGGTCTCCCTCTCTGAGTCCCAGCAGCATCTGCATATACCAGGGAGTTGACCCACCAGCTAGGAGATCATCCTCAACTGCAAAGGGCATACATGCCCAGGGGACAGCAGACACGGAGTTCAACAGGAAAGCATCATGCTTGGTGAACACACAGGACCATCACACCTACCGATGGTGGAGATGAGTTGTCCAGCAGGTACTTGTCCTCAAAATCCCACCGCGGCTCAGACTTGAAGTCAGCAGCTCTCAGTTTCTTCTTTTCTGTCACTGCAGCTGCCTGAGGAACAGGTCTTACAGTTTTCACTGCTGCAGGAGGCTCTTTTGGCTTTGTTTGGTCTTTGGATACGTTGTTTTCATGAGCTCCCTTTACCCCAGAGGATGGTTTCACTGTTGTCTTCTCCTTGGCTCCCTCCACCCTGGGAAGTGGTTTCACTATTGTCTTTTCCTTGGCTTCTTCCACCCCTGGGGCTGGTCTCACTGTAGTTTTCTCCTTGTTTCCCTGCACCCTAGGGACTTTTTTCACTGCTGTCTTCTTAACTCCCTCCATCCCAGGGGGTGGCTTCACAGTCATGTTCTCCTTGGCTTCCTCCACCCCGGCAACTGGTTTCATCTTCTTCTGCTCCTCCTTTCTTTCCCATCTTGGTGTCCTCTCAACCATATCTTGTTGAAGTCTTGTGATGTCTGTTTCCAAAGTCACCTTTAAAAAGCTCTTTGAGTTCCCATTATCAGAATAGTTTAAACCTTGTTGCTCTTGGGTGTCTGCTTGTATCATATCTCGGGCACGTTGGAAAATGCTTAAATGCCTGAATGCAAAGGAAAAGCAGATACATCACACACTTTCCACTTAACACTGAACATCTCCCAGCCCATTTCTAGTGCTCTTGACATTGAGCTCCTCTCTGCGCTTCGGAGCAACCACTGCATATGGCCACTGTACTCAGAGGACTTGCCTTGGCAACTGCCACCGAGTTTCTGCAGGATGCTGTATGAATTCAATTTCATTTTCCACTTCACCACCGAAGTGTTATTCAACTTCCCACACCATTCTGGCCTGAATACTGCTTATCTCTCCACTAAGCAAATCCCAGAAGCTACACACTCCTCTTCAGCACTTGGCTCATGAAACATCCACACTGGCAGTAACTGCAAACCAGCACAGAAAGGCTTTGCCCTGCCCTGGGCAGGACCCCTGGCAATGTCCCTGGAGCACTGCAGGATTGTTTTGGAGATCCTGAGTTCAGGACACAGCACACACCATGAAGACAGCCATCTGGCTCTCTTCTTTGCCAGTGGAGCCAAGTGCTTCAGTGACAGAGAATGAAGATCTTACAGAATTCAGTAAGGGAGAGACAATATTAGACATTAAGAAGTGAAACTCCTTTACTGTACATTGCTTCTTGAGCACTGGGGGCCACAAGGCACTTTTTCCTCTCCTTCTCAGCCAGCCAGTGCAATGGTATCACACAGCATTTGCCAGGTACAGGTCTTAGGCACTTTGAAGCTATTAAAATATACTCTGAAGCTTAAAAATGTAAAATCTCTGCATTTTCAGCAATTGCCTCTAATATTGCAGCTGTTCTGTTGCCCAATTCAGAGGCACAGGCAGGTAGAAGGATATCATAGGAGGACACAGCTGCCAACAGCAGAAGAGCCACCTGCAACAAGACTGGGCTGAAACCCAGCAAAAAAATCAAGGCAGAAGCAGTGGGGTTTTTTCCCAAACATTCATTCTTATCTGCACATGGCTGGAGGGTGGAACAGGAAAAAGGAAGGTGAAAAATTTCTGCAGCTGAGCTTTTATGTACAGCAGAGCTTTTCAGGATAAACCGGTGGTGTAGTCGTGGCAGTCTGATTTCACACTCATGTTCACCTCTTGCATAACACATTTCTTTCAGAGAGCTGTGGATTGCTTCCGAGGTGATAAACAGGAAAAAAAGCACTGCTGCAGATAACAGGTTATAGATAACAGTTCAATTGCTGCTGAACCTTCAGAGTGGTATGGCATTCATTACAGTGATTAGGAAATTAGCAACTAAGGCTTTTAAAAATCATTTTGTATCAGATAAATACTTGAACCTTTCCAATGCTATTTCTAAGCAAAAGAGGTTGTGGTAAGTGGCCTAACAGCTCTTTCTCTACCTCCCCCCATAATCATTAGCCAGCTTCAACCAAGTACACAGCACTTGCTCTCTATCACAGTGCTTCATGTATAAACTTGTGTTACTGTTTACTGCCTAATAAGAGGAAAGATTTTATATATACACTCAAAATAGAGAGAAATTTGGTAAGGTAGCTGAGGAAGTTCTTAAATCCCTGGATGGTTTTCTGTTGTATTTTTAAGATGCTGTTTAAAATTTTGAAATTAAAGGGCAGAGAACAAATAAAACAGGACAGTATGACAAACCCCCCCTGCCCCAGACTTTCCGCATGTGCTGTCTTGCAGGGTACAGACTCCAACCCATCTCTATTACACTTTCATTTCAAATACTGTGCCAAACATACAGAGACTAAAACGTAAAATCAAGGGCCCTTCACATCCAAAACCTTGCTCCCTGCAGTCAGACCCACATGGCCAGGCACTTGTGCCTGCACAGGACCCTGCTCTCCTGACCAGCTTTTTAAATCCAGACAAATGGTCAAAGCAGCTCATCAAATTTCAGGCTCTAGAGTCCAGCTGGCAAACAACTGCAGAAGCTCAATGACATTTACTGTCATTTTCCTCTCCATTTACAAAGCCCTAGGACAAATAGAGGATAAAACCATAAAAATGCTGCTTTGTGTATTTTACGTTACACATAAAGGTACGGAAAAAAACCTGACACACACATAACCACATACAGCTCATGCCTAGTTGTCTTTTACTTAAGTTGCAAAAATACAGACATTTCTATTATCTGAAACTATGGCAGAATTAAATCGCTTCAAGCAGCTGGGCAGGGAGAGCCAGTTCTTGTCCCAGCTCTGCCACTGATGGGCTCTGTGATCAAAGACAACTCATTTCACTTCTCTACACCTCCTCCTGTTCTCCTTTCCCCCCCCCCCCCCACCTCCCCTGTGCAGATTCCAACCTCTCCAAATTGATAGCTGTCCCCAGGGTGTGGTCTCAAGTCACTGGATCTGAGCTCATGCCACCTCCAGAACAGATTTAGGTGTTCCCAGCCTCACCCCTCCTGCCTGCCCCCACAATATCAGCCCTGAGGCATCAGCTGGAAACTAACCCCACCAAGATGAGACAGCTGAGCTCACTGTGAGAGCTGGGACCATGAGGGCTGGTGGGGAGGTTGGGGCGTGGTGTTTCCTCTACACAACACAGGGCACCAACACATAAGCGAAGCATGCTTGTAGTAGGAAAAGCTCAGATATCTGCTGTACTCATGCAAGGAACAGTGCTTCCTGCCAACAATGCTGGAGACATTTTACTGCAGTATACACTGCAACTCCCTCCACACTCATTCTTGTAGGATTTACTTGACCACTTATATAAAAAATTATATATATATTGATCATGTCTGCATGACATTGGTCTCCCAGTATGCAGCGAATTTTTATTAGGAAGCAGATGCTGAACTCACCATAAATTCGAAGGTATCCCAGCAAATTCAATGTCCAGCAATGCAATCTGGACTAGGGCTGAATGAGGTCCTTCTGGGAGCCACCAGGAAAAGCAAATACTATGCAGTGCCAAAGTATGAAAACAGGTAGCATTAGTAAAGCAAAAATTGCTTTCTTAAACAGCTATACAAGGAAACACTGGAAACTAATAACCCAGCAGAAGCAAGTTTTTGACTGTGAATCTTCCAACACCGTGCTCTGCTTGTACACAATGTGGTCTGCTAAAACAAAGCGCTCACCTAACTCAGAAGTGCAAGTTTGTAGAAAGACACAGAGACAGAGAAAGTGAGCACAAGGACTCTATCCAGACAGTGCATATCACAAGGAAGCAGGTCTCTTACCTGAAAATCCTTGTCTTTGACAGGCCAAACAAGGAGCTGAAATTAGCAATGAAGATGAAAAAGTGTATTAAAACAACGAGCCAAATGAAGGCTCTGGGAATTTTAGGAAGCCTTCTCCTGAAAAACCACATGGTGAGATGCCTGAGAGCAATAGAGGCTCTGCTGCTGCTGCCCAGAGGTACCTGCTACGCAGTGCTTTCCAAAGGTGTGTTGAATGAGTGGGCTGGTCTTCTCTCTGCGTTTCCCTACAAGAACATGCACACCCTCTCTCCCAACATTTCTCAGACAAGACAGCAGCTTTGCCCTGTTCCCCTCTATCACCCTAAGGTTATTGCAACACACAGTTGGGAAAGAAACACCTTCTACTGCAAACAGTGGAAGTTTCCTGTATTTTCCTTAATGAGGTTAGCCCAGTATAACAAGGAAACTCTTTACCTCTAATCGGGCGGAAGCATCACTGGGAACATTTGTGTGAATTATGGAAGTAGCCACAGTTACAGTCAAAGAAATCAGCTTTCAGACCACCACCACCTTCCCAAGGGCTCTAGACATAACCATAAACAGATCTTTATTTTCTTCTTCATGCAGTAGTTGCTTGTAGTTCCAATCCAGAAGCAATACCTGCCCCCAAAAGCTGACAGCTAGATACACATCCATTTTACCTTGTGATTGCTTTGAAACAAGTCAGATTCCTTGCAAACCCACCATAGAACAGAGGAGTTTGTGTTTAAAGGCAGATTAGTGCTTGGGTAAAGCATTAGAGTACAGGGCTTAGAATCAGACAGTACTCTCCCTCTCTAATAAAATTGACCTGCCTTTAGGGCAACTGGAAAAACTTCAATCCAGCATTCCACTTGTCTGAAAGGTGCCAACTCCATCACAATCTAACCATGCTACTGCTGATAAACTCGTTACACAGGCCTGCCTGCAGCTCAGGTTCCCAAGCTGAATCAAGAGTTTGCCACTTAGCTCCAAGCTGCTTGTACAGATAGCAGCAGTACACGCTCTTCAGCTGCTCTTCTTTTTGGGCTCTCAGTCAAGCTGCCTCTGGTACCAATGCTAAGATTGGTCTTTTACTTTTGGCTTTTGAACCATCCCATCATTTCACAGGGATCACTGAGTGGCCAGGAAATGATAGCTATGTCAGTTCACCACCAAAATAGGACCTGGATGGATTTGAGTCTGTGGCTAGTTGTAGAATTTAAAAGAACTTGGTGACCCTGGAGACCCCCGCAATACAGCCCCTGGAAATTCAGCTGGTTTCAAGGGAGCATTTAATACATTTGAATTTTTATTTCACATAACACCAAAATAAATTTTAAGTTTCTCATATCTGTGAATCATGCCATCACAGACAGAAGATAAGCGCCTTTTACACTACTGCCCTTAGTGGGACCCTGGTTGTTTGGGTTTTGTATAGTACAATCAGGCTTTGCTCATGAACAGTGTCAGTTTAAAACAGAGCTTCACTAATGCCATGTGCACACAAAACACTCCAAGGGTAATGAATCCCTGCTGCAACCCTAGGGGTTTGCACTACCCTCGATTTGAGCCACGAGCATATTCAGACCTGGGATACGTTGCTTCTCTTTGATAAGTAGCACCTGACAATCTCTCTCTCCACCCCAAGTTCCACAATACATATCTCATCCTCTCCTCTTCACAAAAATCAGTGGTCTGCCTGGAGACGGATCTTTGGCAGTCCAGACTACATCTCCCCACCAGCAGAGGGAAAGATTAGAAGAGATGAACACCACAGCCAGAGAAAAGCTTACCTGTACCAGAGATGTAGTTTTACATGCTACAGCAAAGGGCTATTTTAACTCATGGGGAGCTGTTAAATACTAACCCTGACAGTTACAAGGGGAGATGGCTGTGCTTCTTAGAACATAGGCTGCTTTTGCACAGCTCTTATCAAAAATTAAGCTCAGATATAAAAGAGCTTTTGTTGACAATATCACAGATCTCGTAAGCTAGCACACACACTGTTACTGAGTACACAGAGAACTGAAGATGTTTGCTTTACATTACAAGAAAGCCAGTGAACAGGTTTCACACCTACCTTGTACCCCACCATGCATCACAGCAAAAAGCTGCAAGGATTCCCTGTACAAGGCTCAGCAGTAGCTGCATTTCTTTATTGTCCATACTTCCTGACAAGTTAGTCTTTCTGGATTTAAGTGCAAGTCATTGATTATCAGAGGACCTAGGAGAGAAAAATTAAACAATAACAGGTTTGAAAAGCCCCTGAAGAAATATGAGGGAGGCTGTTTAGTCCAGGGTACAATCCTGCCTCCATCTACAGCAAAACATTTCACTATTGGTTGAACTGAGCCTAGGATCAAAGGAGATCTGCTGAACAATTACAGGCACTGAAAAAGGGATCAGCCAGGGTATTGCCATATTCCTGGGCAGCCCCCATTAGCTCCAGGCAATTCCAGAGAGGTGGGCTATGGGTCTGGGTGTGCAGCAGGGAAGTAGCAACTCTGTGTCCACAGGCTCTCCAACAGGACATTCTTACAGGAACAACTATCAGTCCTGAAGCACTTGATATGCATCATACATAGTAACGGCTTCATGTTAGCCTTCCTCTTTCAAGCACTATGTTTCTTCAGGAAGAAGCTGCTTGTGTGAAACTACAAGGCTTTTTTTGTTAATAGAGCCCTAAAGGTAAGTTCTTGAGGTACCAAACATTTTCCTTCAACTTCCTCCATGGAACATGACTGTGAAACCAAGAGCCACAAAGGATAGCAAGATTCTTACAACCAGAAAAAGACAGCTTTCTTTGCTTTTAAGGAACTGGGATGGAAATTGTGGAGAACATGTCTGTAGCACTTTATGTTCAGGAAAGACTCTGCTTGAGGGGATATCCAAATCTCTGGCAAGAACATTAGCCAAAACCAGGCTTGCTATGCAAAACACACAGTTTTTCACCTTCTTGGTGTAAGAAAAGAAAACCTAAAAAAAAAACCCTGTCAGAGTACTGGCTTTCACTTCCTTGGAGTATTATTTCACCATCCTCCACCTCTACTGCTACGATCAGTCTGCCAGAGCTCAGGCAGCCAGGCTGGTTAGCTCAAACACGAGGTCAGATTGGGAAATTGGGATGTATTGTAACTCCTGAGAGATAACCTGGTGAAAACTGAGGCCAAGAGCAGAGCTGCTCCCTTATAAAGCTCTATGAAGAATATGATTCCTGGGATACACAGGGCTCCCAGCCCACAGACAGGAAAATAAGCGAAAACTGCACCTAACGCAGGGGTTGGCAACCTCTCCAGGGCCACAGGCCAGATGCCAGCCTCCTTTTCCAAACAAGAGGTTTTGCATGTTTCCCTGGAAGTCCTACTGGCAATCCCAGGAGATGCTGCTTCTCTCACAGCATAGAGACTCTGAGCCCAGCATTGCTGTTCCATGTTCAGTGTGTCCAGCTACCAACATCAATGCCCACACCAGAAATTCTTCTTCTTTAGTGCTGTGAAAACAAGACTTTTTTTTTTTTTTTTTTTTTTTTTTTTTAAGCAAACTGCACCTGGGGCCATCAAATGAAGACAGTTAACTGTTAGTTCTTTTCCATTTTCAACAGTCTATTTAATTCCACATCCACTTAACTACATCCTTAGTTACATCCTGGACTGATAAAAGGCAGCTTTCTGCTTTGTTTTTTTTCATAAACAAACTTTATCTCCATTAGATTTTAAGATGTGTGTGTTGTGGGTGTTGGCCAGCGTCTGAAATATGACAGTAATTTGTCTGTGTGCATGTTCTCCATAGGGCTGTGTATCAAATCATGTTTACTTGCCTGTGACTTTTGTGCTTTCCACTTTCCCATGGCTCTGGGCAAGGGAACAGGGCACACAAGATGTGCTTTAAGAACAGAGCTGTTCTACAAATTCATCAAGCTTCACTGTAGGACAAATCTGTCTTTCAGTGATGCCTACAACATATCAAACCCAGTACTTTACTAGAAGCCTGTGGAATAAGGAGCTGCTAAAGAAGCTGGGGCTGTTTGGGCCTGTCCACAGTATTACTTGATGATATAAGAACTGAGTGAGTTATAACTGTGAGAGAAAAAGAATGACATTGCCTGCAGCATGTAACTGCTCAGTGGTCGTGCATGCGGGTTAGCAAAAGTTAAGCTAGCAAAGGCTTGGCTTGGAAATGGTAGGTTCTTGTTTTGCTCTCAGTCATCTTCAGGGCACATGCTTTCAGGCTGGGAATCCAGTGAGGGAAGAAATAACAAGGGCAAACTCTGCACAGCTATTTGTCTCACTTTCACCAAACAAAACTGATAGCCCAAAAACTCTCCAGCTTGCCTTCACTGCACACTCACTGGCCATTTTCCATCAAGTCCTTTCCCTTCTGCACCAAATCTCTCAAAAACACAACAACCAACCAGAGACAAGAGCATTAATCAAGGCAAAGCCCCCACCCCTCCTACTGCTGCACTTGCAAGAATACCCCCAGTTCTGTCACAGAGCAAAACCTCAGAGAACTGTGCCAGGAGGTGGGGAACTGCTTAGTGAGCCAACTGGTCTGTGTTCTCCATGGGCTGAAATGCCCCAGGACAGAGACAGACAGTGGCTTTCATGGTGAAACACTAGCAAGTGCCTCCTTAGTGTCCACATAACAGAGTATGCAAAACTTCTTGGTTTTTTATTAGTGCTGTTTTGTGTTTGGTATCCAGCCCTAACTAGCTAATGCCCCAGTAAAGAAACTACCTTGAATCTGTGTTGTGACGGCAGATGATATGGATCCAAGCTGGAATATTTCCCCCTCTCCCAGGTGGTAACAAGACCATAGACAGGCTCCTCCAGCCTCCCAAGTACAAGGGAAAGTCCTTGCCTGGAGCAATCACTGGGACATGGGGTGTAAGTGCTCTGATTTTGGCCAGATTAGAGTCTCTGGTCACTAGAACTTGTTTTAGTTCTTTCTGTAAGTACGATGACTACTTCGCTATTGAGCATGTTCCCTATGGCCACCGCTGTAGGTGTTAACCTCTCTGTATTGCATGAAGCAGACCAAGTCTTCCATCAGACTGCTTTTCTGCCTCTTGAGCTCTTCACCGTTCACCCCATCCTGCTTAAGCTGCAATACTGAAATGGCTCTGGTCCCAGCATTCCTTTCTGAGATACACAAAGCTGAGAAGACTAATGAGCCACTTCATTTAATAGAATTCAAGAAAAAAAAAAAAAAAAAAAAAAAACACAAACCAGAAAAATACACTCCCAGTGACAATGGCTGGAAACATCAGCTGGAGTTACACAAGCTGAAGAGAACCAGGGATCCTTTATCCAAATGCCTCCCTCAGCCTTTTGCCATCCCAGCAGGAAGTCTAGCATATCACCTGAGAGCTGACAGACACAAAACTGACACCACTTCAGGGCAGATATGTGTTGTGGGGTTTTTTCTCCCTTAAAATCTATTGATGGAAAGGAAGAAAATACTCTGTTGCTTGACTAGGAATCTCTCAGAGAGCTGCTCCCCCAAGGAACAGGGCAGTACTGCACACAGGTGAGGAGATAATTTATTAAACTCATGGCTAGCTGGCTTCCCATCAGAAAAGCAGCCTCTCCAGCTCCTGTCCCTGACAGCTGCCAGGAGTAGGAGCATTTCAGGACTTTCCACTACTCCAGAGCGAGAAAAACACAAGAATCATAAAGCCCAAATCCCTCTCTGTACCCCTGGCAAAAAAATGCAGGCATATTATCTCAGCACTTCACATCTGGCTGCAAAAATCAGATATGCATATCTGTGTGTGGGTCTACTAATTTTAGAGCCAGAAGTGAAATATTTCTTGCTAACGGTCCTTCTCATATTCTTCCCACTGACTTAACACCAGAAACCATCCCTCTTGACATCTGGCAGGACAAATGTGCCATTTGGCATCCTTTGGGGGTGAAACGTGCTACAGGAACGCAAGATGGAAGCCTGCTTCTTGAGTGGTATAAATCACTGTGTCCCTGACTCACACTTGGAAAAATGTGGCCTCCTCTCTGGAAGAGAATGCCTTCCTCTGTTCCTGACTGACAGATGCATTGGAAAAGTGCAGTCACATTTTTAGTTGCAGGAGTAGCACAGCCACAGGGTCCTGTGAGAAGCACGATCGATTTACTGCTGGAAATCATATGCTTCTCTTTCCTTCTCTCTCTTTTGTCTGGTCATCTATTTAACAGATGTTCTCCTACTTTATTTAGATACCTAGAAGGTCCTGTGCTACTTATCTCCATCCTCCTCCTATTAATTTGACAGAATATTTTGGCAGCCATGGAGAGAATGTAATTCTTTGCCACCGTAGTTACACAACACTTATCAACCTCATACTGGGAAAACCCCAGGCAAAGTAATTGCTGGGCAGGAGAGCAGCACACTGTGTTAGTGTGGTAGAAATGGGAGATATTTGCACTCAGGAAAGGCAAGCCTTCCTCTCCTGGTTCCTTGGAAGCTGCTTAACATCTGTTCAATTTGGGTTTGTCTCACAGGCCTTAGATCTCCAGGAAGGACACTCCTGTTGCACAATAATCCTGTTTCTAATAATGCCGCATGATGACATCATTCATCGCCTTCCGTGAGCAGTGCTTCCTAAAGATGGGTGTCACTGCAGTGAAAAGCATGGCATGGAGAAGTCAGGCAGGACGTACACTGAGTGTGTTTGTTCCTAGCTCTGCAGCTTCCATCTCAAGCCTTGTGTCTTCATTTTAATCTGCCAAATGAGAATGATCAGGCCTACAACAGGAACAGTCTAAGCTGTGTTGTTAACCGCATGATGTCAAATTCAGGTGGTGTCCAGCCCTTGTGCTAATTTCCACTAGCCTGCCCTCACAGCTCTCTCCTCTGTAGCAGGCATTCTGTACTCATTGACACACTACCCATTCATCTAGAATGAGTTACACTGCAGTCACAGCAACAAAGCCTGAAGAGACAACTTGAAAGGTCATCTCATGCAGCTCCAAGCTTCAGTGATATTTACACCAACCCTGTAACTTTAAGCAGGCGTCAGTTGGGGCTTGCCTATCTTTCAGCACTTGAGGTTTCCCTCCCTCTCCCTAAGCAATCTGCACCACTATGTCATACTCCAATGACTGTCATCTAGGGCATCCCCTTTGCCCCACCTCACCTTTCAGCTTGGTCAACGTTTGAGTTTGTATT